TAATAACTCTGGGTAGGGGTTTACCTACATTGTTTATTTTCTCAAAGAACCAGCTCTTGGTTTCATTGATTTTTTCTATTGTTTTATTCTTCTCAATTTTATTTATTTCTTCTCTGATATTTATTATGTCCCTCCTTCTGCTGTCTTTGGGCCTCAATTGTTCTTCTTTTTCTAGTTTCAATAATTGTGACTTTATTCATCTGGGAATTTTTTTCCTTCTTTAAATAGGCCTGGATTGCTATATACTTTCCTCTTAGAACTGTCTTCCTTGTGTCCCACAGAAGTTGGGGCTTTGTGTTGTTGTTTTCATTTGTCTCCATGTATTGCTCGATCTCTGTTTTAATTTGATAATTGATCCACTAATTATTTAGGAGCATGTTCTTAAGACTCCATGTGTTTGTGAGCCTTTTTGTTTTCTTTGTACAATTTATTTATAGTTTTATACCTTTGTGATCTGAGAAGCTGGTTGGTAGAATTTGAATCTTTTTGAATTTACTGAGGTTCTTTTTGTGGCCTAGTATGTGGTCTATTCTTGAAAATGTTCCATGTGCACTTGAGAAGAATGTGTATCCTGCTGCTTTTGGTTGCATCTGTTCTAGTGTGTTGTTCAGTGCCTCTGTGTCCTTACTTATTTTCTGTCTGGTGGATCTGTCCTTTGGAATGAGTGGTGTGTTTAAGCCTCCTAAAATGTACACATTGCATTCTATTTCCTCCTTTAGTTCTGTTAGTATTTGTTTCACATATGTCAGTGCTCCTGTGTTGGGTGCATAGATATTTATAATGGTTACATCCTCTTGTTGGACTGACCTCTTTATCATTATGTAATGTCCTTTATCTCTTGTTACTTTGTTTTGAAGTCTATTTTGTCTGATACAAGTACTGCAACACCTGCTTTTTTCTCTCTGTTGTTTGCATGAAATATCTTTTTCCATCCCTTCACTTTTAGTCTGTGTATGTCTTTGGGTTTGAGGTGAGTCTCTTAAGCAGCATATAGATGACTTTTGCTTTTTTATCCATTTAATCACTCTGTGTCTTTTGATTGGTGCATTCAGCCCCTTTACATTCAGGGTGATTATCGATAGATATGTACTTATTGCCATTGCAGGCTTTGGATTCATGGTTATCTAAGGTTCAAGGGTAGCTTCTTTACTATCTGTGTAACTTTAACTCAGTTATTATGCTATTATAAACACAGTCTCAGGATTCTTTCTCTCACTTCTGAATCTTCCTTCTCCACTCTTTATGTTAGGTGTTTTATTCTGTACTCTCTGTGTTTCCCTTGACTGATTTTGTGGATAGCTCATTTTATTTTTTGCCTTTGGTTAGTATTTGGTTGGTCTGCTTGCTTTGCTGTGATTTTATTTCCTCTGTTGACATTTATTCAGCCTTAGGATACTTCCATCTAGAGCAGTCCCTTTAAAATACCCTGTAGAGGTGGTTTGTGGGAGGTAAATTCCCTCAACTTTTGCTTATCTGAAAATTATTTAATCCCTACTTCAAATTTAAATGATAATCTTGCTGGATACAGTATTTTTGGTTTAAGGCCCTTCTGTTTCATTGCATTAAATATATCATGCCATTCTCTTCTGGCCTGTAAGGTTTCTGTTGAGAAGTCTGATGATAGCCTTATGGTTTTCCTTTGTAGGTGATCTTTTTTCTCTCTCTGGCTGCTCTTAATACTCTGTCCTTGTCTTTGATCTTTGCCATTTTAATTATTATATGTCTTGGTGTTGTCCTCCTTGGGTCCCTTGTGTTGGGAGATCTGTGGGCTTCCATAGTCGGAGAGACAATTTCCTTCCCCAGCTTGGGGAAGTTTTCAGCAATTATTTCTTCAAAGACAGTTTCTATCCCTTTTTCTCCTTCCGGTACCCCTATAATGCAAATATTGTTCCGTTTGGATTGGTCACACAGTTCTCTTAATATTCTTTTTTCCCTAGAGATCCTTTTCTCTCTCTGCTGCTCAGCTTCTCTGTATTCCTGTTCTCTTATTTCTATTCCATTAACAGTCTCCTGCACCTCATCCAGTCTGCTCTTAAGTCCTTCTATTGATTATTTCATTTGTTGTCTCCCTCTGAACTTCATCCCTTAGCTCTTGCATATTTCTCTGCAGCTCTATCAGCATGGTTATGACGTTTATTTTGAATTCTTTTAAAGAATGATTGGTTATATCTATCTTGCCAGGCCCTCTCTCTGGTGTCGAGTAATTTTGGATGGGACCAGGTTCTTCTGCCTTTTCATGGCAACAGAAGTGATCACCAGCAAGTGGCATGTGTCAGCTGGGAGATTAGAGTCCATTTTTGCTTGCTGGTCACCTTGCCCTTTCCCGCTGCCTGTGCCGGTTACCCACACACAGGGAGCAGTCTCTGGGTCAATCCTGAGCTGCCATGGGTGGGGCACCCCTTGGGATGGCCTAGTGCACTGCCAGGTGCTGCAGGCACACCGGGTGTGTTCTCCTGTGAGAACAGCACCCCTTCTTGCTTTCTGGACTTTGCCCTGGCTTCCTCTGCCTGTGCCGGGCAGCTGTGTGCTGGTGGTAGCCTCTGGGTCTGGCTGTTAGCTACATTCTGAGAGAAGACTCTGTGTGGTTGCTGTGGGTGGGGCTGCCCCCTGGCTGGTCTGCAGCAATGGTGCGTCAGCTGGTTTGCTTGCAGTGTCAGTGGCGGGGAATGTACGGCAGGCTGCTTATTGCCATGAAGGGCTTCACAGCTGTGTTGCCACCTAGGGTTTAGGGCGCCTGAAGTTCCTTAAATTCCCAGCCTGCTGGGCTGAGTGTGCCAGCACGAATTTGTTCACCTGTTATACCCTTGTCCCTTTAAGACTTTTAAATCACCCGCTTTTCTCTGGTCCCAGGGGAGCCAGCTGTGGGGACCCACTCGCAGTCTCCATCTCGGATTTTACTTTTCCATTTCTCTAATATCCAGTACACCATGCAATGTGTGTCTGTGCTTCTGGTGCAGATTAACAGGGCTGGTTATTTAGTAGTCCTGTGCTTCCACTCCCTCCCCATTCTGATTCTTTTCCTCCCACGGGTGAGCTGGGGTGGGGGAATGCTCGAGTCCCATCAGGTCATGGCTTTGTATCTTACCCTTTTCGTGAGATGATGAGTTCTTGCAGATGTAGATGTAGCCTGGCTGTTGTACTGTCTATCTTCTGGTCTCTTTTAGGAATAGTTGTATTTGCTGTATTTTCAAAATATGTATGTTTTTTGGGGGAGATTTCCACCGCCCTACTCATGCTGCCATCTTGAGCCTGGTCTGTGTACTTTTATCTGTGCTTTTCAGTCCCTTTTCCCCTTTTAGATGGGAAAGGATGACTAGAGTGGGATGAAGTTGGCTATTTCCCTTCGTTGATGTGTAAGGCTGGAGCCAGCTGGAGTTGGGTATTTCCTCTCTCTGAAGTCAGTTACACTCTAGTTAAATAGTTTGTCCTGAGCATAGAACTTGTTAAGAACAGAGTACTTTGGCATATTTTACAATGGTTCCTTTTCCCCTCCCCACTGCCAGAAGCTCAAGGGGATTTTTATATCCACTGTGAGAAAACTGGTAGAACTACAGGAGGTTACTCACAAGAGTGTGTGTGGTTGTTGTCAAGAACTGGGTCCCCCTGGAGATTTTATTTCTCAGATTTATCCATACTCAGCCTAAAGAAGTTAATCACTTATGGTTCAGGTTTTCCTATCTTAGCACTGGTTCCTGTGGACATTGCAGCTTGAGGGTTTCTGCTCCAGTAAGCTGTGATTCTTCGTATTCTCCTACTGGACTCTCCAAGTTTGTCAGTCGTTTGCCCTGTGACTATTCTCTTAAAGAGTCTAACAAGAGTTGGTTTTCCAGTTTGTTTGGTATTTACTTGTGAGAACTGAGAGGCAACTTCCAAGCTTCTTACAGGCCAGAATGGAAATCTGCATCTTTAAATTTGGGAATAACCACCATTTGTACTATGTGTTCTTATCTGGAAACGTGAAATAGTCCTCAACTTATTTAGGCCTTCTTTAACATCTTGCAATAATTTCATAAGTTTTTCCATAAAGGTCTTATACACCTTGCATTAGTTGGCTTGAGTTGCCGTAACAAAATACCACAGACTGGGTGGCTTAAACAACAGAAATTTATTTTCTCAGCTTTGGAGGCTTGACATCCAAGATCAGGATGCCAGGATAGTTGGGTTCTGGTGAGTTCTCTTCCTGGCTTACAGATGGCCAACTTCTTGCTGTGTTCTCACATGGCAGACAGAGAGCTCTGGCCTGTCTTCTCATAAGTGCACCAGTTCTACTGGATCAGGGCTCCACCCTTACCATTCCATTTAACCTTAATAACCCCTTAAAGCCCTTTTCCTAAGACAGTCACATTGAGGTGCTGATGGTTAGGGCTTCCACATACGAATTAGGGGGAACACCATACAGTCCTAGCACAGGTTTTGTTAGATTTAGTGCTAAATGCCAAATATTTTTGATGCTACTATAAATGATTTTATTTTTATCATTTCATTATACTTTTAAGTATTTTGTGGTAAATGGACATGTAATTAATTTCTGTATATTGATTCTGTAAGGACTTGTTTTTATTCAAAAAACAGCATATAACAGATTGAAGAATATTATCAAATTTGAACTTTTTCAAAAGTTTCTTTATTTCAGATTCATTGCTGCAGTCACGTAATCCTCAAAACCCAAGTTTATAACTGATCTCATATCCACATGCTCATTAGTTAGAGGGAAAAAATTCTGAACAGTATTTTAGCAGTTCCATGATTTGTAAACAATAGTGAATTTGTGAAAGCTGACAAACTCCCAATGCATTCATAGGATAACCACTCTTAGCTATAAGAAGCTGGGCAATAAGGGAATATTTCTTGTTCAGTCATAGAAAAATGCTAAAGGAATTTTATGATGAGATAAATGCTTTATGTTAGTACACAACCAATTGGGAAAATAAAACTGCTATATATGTTGGTACTTTTGCTTTTGAGTGTTTGTAGTATGGCATTACCCATATATCTGACATTTAATAATACATACAATTTCAGGTCTGGGTTCTCAAAAGACCTGCTTGATATTTTTGAATAGCTTCTGGAGTATTCAAAGTGCTTTCTTCATTTATCTTTTCTTCTTGCCTAAGGGTTAGGGTTAGTGGGACTGTGCAATGCTGGAGCAATAATCCAGAATGTCCTGAATAGTAAATTCCATTGTAACACCAGATCCAGGATAGCAGCGAGCTATCAAACCTTCAAAGTGCTTGTATTGGCGTATAAATTCATCTTGCATGGAGTGCCACACTACCTATTACAAAAATGAAAATAAAAGCTGTTAAACTATGAATGGAAACAAGACATTAATCAAGTATGTCAAAATAACTCAAGACAGAGTCTAGGAATTAAGCAGAGTATAACAGTGAAGAACATGCTTCTTCTACTGGTAAAATATGTGACCTTGACTATGTTACATTGCGATTCTGTGCCTCAAGTTCATCATCTGTAAACCAGGGTAATAATAACAATACTTTCCTCCTAAAGTTCTTGAAGATGAACCAAGTGCATCATGTATAGTGCTCTGAACACGGTTTGACACAGTAAGAGCTCATTACATTTTAGCTATTATGATATCTACTATAATATCCAACAGAGTTTTGGATATGCAGAGTTATCTATGGAACTAAGACTAGTGATTAAGTGAAATGGAACGTTAATGCTTAAATTTCATTTCAAATGAAAGTTAAAAATAGTACAAAGTGCTTTATGTACATATTATCCTATTTAAGTCTCATGACAACCTGGCAAAGGTAGATACTATGATCAGCATCATTACCTGATAGTCTAGGATTTTTCCTTGTGAACTTTAAATCTCATAAATCCTAAATTACTGTTTACTTAAGAATATTAAGTCAGCAGTATTATCCTTTTTGCTTTTCGTCTTTTAGCTCATGGTATTTCTTCTACCTGGAATGCCACTTTTCCACTTTATGTGTTACATTACTCTCTGACTTTCAGAGGCTAATGCAAATGTAATATCCTCATGAAGCCTTTGATGATACTAAAATCAGAATTATTCTCATTCATCTCTGGGCTTTTCAGTATGGTTTGTAAAGAATAATGGTTCAATTTAGGTTTAATTCTGGCTCTCCCATCCATTAGTTATGGGATCTTAGTTATATTATTCTACCTCCCTCAGCTTTGATTTTCTCCTTTATAAAATGGTAATGACAATAGTACTATCATATGAGAGAGGTACAATTCAAATAAGGAAATTGAGTCTAAGTAACTTGCCCAAAGGCATGTAGCTTAACCTGGAATCAGATAATGAACCCATTTCTAACTCCAACCCCCAGTCAGAGAATCACTCCTCTGTACTATACTATATTCCATTTACTTAACCTCAAACCTAAAAGACAAACAAATAAAAAATCCATCTCCAAACTAAAGAAAAACAAGTTAATGCTTCAAAACAATAGAACATATATAAAATAAGCAGGAATAACCATATAAACTTATAGAAATATTGTTCCTTTCTCTTTCACAATTCATTAGTCTGGTCTGTACTTTATGGAAGTTTCTTCCTTTTCCTCCTGCATTAAAATGAGAAATTATGTAGCATTTCTAGAGGAATATTTGGAGAAAAGCAATATATGTAAGAATATACAATCTTGATAAAAGAACTAAGCATACCTGAAGTAAGTTCTCCTCTTCACATAAGTGTTTATCAACCTTCTTGTATAGATTATCTAGACCTTTTTTTACTTCCTTTCCAGGATACTCTTTAATAACTTTACGAAGCTCTTGCTTGTTAAATGCGAGTTGATAGCTGACTTCCTCCTCTCTTACACCCTGTGCTACACGGGCTTCAACACCTTCAAAGAAATGCTTCAGAGAAATGCAAAGCAGTAATAGCTAAGAACTGCTTTCATTATCATTAAGTTAAAAAAAATCTGACTATAAAATAGTATATATTCACTGTGTAAAAACCAGACAATATGTAAAAGTAAAAAGGATAAAATAACAATCATCTATTATCACACCGTTAACATTTTAGATTTTCTTCTAGTTTTTTGATATGAGTACATAAATGAGATTTTAATTTTGTATGTTGTTTTCCATTTAATATTTCACTTTTTTCTGAAGTATAAATTTTAATGGCTGCATAATATTCCCCCCATGACTGAACTACAATTTATTAATTTGTTCCTCCAGTATCAGATATTTAATATTTTTCACTTTTTTTTGGAGATGGCAAAATCTACTCAGATTTTTAAAAATCTCATTATAAATAGTTGTTATAAATACCTTTTATACATAAGTAGTTATTTTTACTGATTACTTTCCAGAATAAGTTTCTAGGACTACAATTCCTCAGGTGAGTATAACTATAACTATTTTGAAGATTTTTCATATATACAAATTGCTTCCCAGAAGAGTTCAATTTATATTTCTGTCAACAGTATGAGACTGCTATCTTCCCATACTATCATCAGCATTATCACATTTAAAAGAAATTATTGCCATTTTGATGAGTGGAAAATGTTTATCTGCCATTTTACTTCAGAATCCTTTGGCTAGCCTGTTTTCATACATTTAGTAGTATCTCCAGAAGCCATCTTAGTGTTTTTCTTACTGATTTTAAAAAGATGTTTTGTGTTAAGTATACTGACTGTTGTATTATTACAAATGTTCTCACAGGTTGTCTTTTAAGTATTTGTTTTTCTAATATGCACTTTTATTGACTGCCATGCTTCTGAGTACTATACAATATAATTCAATATCGACAAGGCAAATCTCCTCTCATCACTTTTCTTGGCAATTATTTGTTTATTCCTCATTAAACTATTGTTTTTTGTTAATTTTTTAAACAAGTCTATTCCTGGTGCTTTTAAAATTTTGTTTCTACATTTAACTGGTATTATGACATACAGGAAATACATTTTTTTGACATTTATTTTGAATCCTTCCAATTTACCATAGACCAATAATTTGACATATTATATACAGGTAATTAGAATCCTGACTCTCCTTCCTAGGTCTTTTATTTATATTTCAGGTTTTTATTGCATCAGCTAGAGCTTTCATAACAATGTTAAATACTAAAGGATCTAGCAATTTTTCTGCTTTAAATTTGATTTCAAAGGGAATCCCTCTGATATTGAAGTTAAGTATTATGTAGACTTTAGGCCTGAGACAGACAGACATTTTACTTAAAGGAATATCTGTCTTTTGTTAAGATTTATAAGGAATGGGTTCTGAATTTGATTAAATACCTTTTAAGTATTTCTTTGAATTGTTGACAACAGATATGCATTTTTTATTTAACTCTAATTTCAAGTTAAAAGCTTACAAAAGATGACTGATCACATTGTAGACAAAGTTTGTTAGAAAGGTCCATTTAAGCTTCCACAATGTTGCAAAGTTCTCTAAAACTATCATTTCTTAATTTTAATGATATGACTTCTCCAAGGAATGACTCAAATCAGGAAAAGAAGCGAAAGGAAAGCCAGTAAACAAAACAATTTTTTGTTTTCCTTTTAAGAAAGCTTTGAACTCTTCATAGTGACTAAGGATGAAGTTCAGCCAGTTACAAGGTAAGAAATGGGAAAGTCTGGTATAATGGAAAAGCCTAATGTAGGGTTCATCCCCAGCTTTGCTACTAGCCAGTTTTTGTAACTTCAAGCAAGTTTATTTACATTCAGTTTCTTCATTTGTAAAATGAGGGTAATATTATCTTCCGCCATATTAATTTATAAGAAATAAGATATATAGAGCATCTAGCAGTGTCTTGGCACACTGGCAGGTTCAGTAACTGAGTCCCTCCCTCCTTATCTCCCTGCATCAATACTTGAGCAAATTTAGGATAAATGTCTGTTGTTATTCATATGTAAACATAGGTATACTGGTTCAAAATCAGGAAAAATATACTAAATGAAAATATACTTACATTTAGTTTTTCAAGAGGTTGTCCTAAAGAATAAATGACATAGGACTGAAGATGATCTGTGTATTTTTGTTTGGCTTCTTTTTTTTCAGTTTCTAGACATGAGATTTTCAAACGAGAAAGTGTAGCAAAAATACGGTGAAAGTTTTCCATCATAACTACATCCCTGGGTGTCTTCTGGCTTTCGTTTGCTACTTTCTCCACTAAAATCAAAACAGAAAAAACAATAACATCCCAACATGAGTATGACCATATTTAGCTATAAAAACATATGTGACCCAGGAATTCCACTCCTAGGAATTTACCCTAAGAATACAGAAGCCCAATTTGAAAAAGACATATGCACCCCTATGTTTATCGCAGCACTATTTACAATAGCCAAGAAATGGAAACAACCTAAGTGTCCATCAGCAGATGAATGAATAAAGGAGATGTGGTACATATACACAATGGAATATTACTCAGCCATAAGAAGAAAACAAATCCTACCATTTGCAATAACATGGATGGAGCTAGAGGGTATTATGCTCAGTGAAATGAGCCAGGCAGAAAAAGACAAATATCAAATGATTTCACTCATCTGTGGAGTATAAGAACAAAGAAAAAACTGAAGGAACAAAACAGCAGCAGACTCACAGTACCCAAGAATGGACTAACAGTTACCAAAGGGAAAGGGACTGGGGGGGATGGGTGCGAAAGGAGGGATAGGGGGAAAAAAAGGGGAATTACTATTAGCAGACATAATGTAGCGGGGGGCATGGGGAGGGCTGTACTACACAGAGAAGACAAGTAGTGATTCTATAGCATCTTACTATGCTGATGGACAGTGACTGCAATGGGGTATGTGAGGGGGCCTTGACAATGGAGGGAGTCTAGTCAACATAATGTTGCTCATGTAATTGTAGATTAATGATACCAAAAAAACCCCCCAAAAAACATTTATATGATTTTTTCATTTGTACATTTAGGAGGTAAGCACATTTCTGGACTTAATAAAATATATTAAAGGGTCTTCATATCCACCTAAACCTAATATAAAAAAATCATTCTAAAACACCCCAATGTATGTATGGAATTAGTATATAATAAAGGTGGTTTTTCAAATCAGTAGGGAAATAAATTATTCAAAATGTGTTAGGACAACCAGCTGGCCCTTTGAATACATTAAATCTGGATTCTTATTTCACATCTTTTAGCCAAACAAATTCTAAATTGATCAAGCACTTGAAATGAAAAAGCAAATAAATAATTACAATAATAAATTGTAATGAAAATAAAGCTAATTAAAAAATAATAATTTTGTGATACTATGACATTTTTAAGAATGGTCCAAACCTAGAAGTTATAAAAGGGAAAGATGGATAAATGTGACATAAAATTTGAAAGCTCCTGCATGGTAAAAAATACCATAAATAAAATCAATTTATAGCCTATTAGGTTGACAAAGAATAAAAAGATGGGTATACCTAGTAATATTTAGCATTGGTACATGTGATGAGAGTCTCACAAACTGATCGTAAGATTAAACGGGTATAACTTTCCTGTATGGCAACTTGACAAAAAGCCTTGAGATACATACAAACCTTTTGACCCAATAATTTCATTTCTAGTAATTTACTCTAAGGAAATTATTGGACAAGTACACAAAAGCATAAGCAAGAAACTGGAAACAAACTAAATGTATATTAATAGGAGATTTGGTAAATAATAATGATACATGGAATACTATGCAATTATTAAAAATGATTTTGGTTATCTACATAGGCTGATAAAGACAGACACTGGGATTATAGAGTAAGCAGGTTCTAAAACGGCATGTAAGATATGATAACAATTTTTATATTAAACAACACAAACCCACAGCCATACAATACATGCATATATGAGGGAGGAAGGCACTGAAATGTTTAGAAGGATAAAAATCTCTCCATGATGAGATTACAAATCATCTCTATTTTCTTCATGATTTCGAAAATCTGTTTTCTGATTTTTGGGGGTGTGTATTTAACATGTATTACTTTTCAATCAGACAAGGCAAAGTTATTTGGAATTTTAAAAGACATATTAATCACACAAAATCCAATCATGTAATATCTTTCTTTCCCTTAGATGATCTTCTACTGAAAACAGGTTATATTTTTAGCTTTAAAAAAATCCCTGAATATATGCAATTAGATAATCTGTTTCAAATTAAATGAAGCATCCACACTATTTCTGTAACTTAATTGTGGGATCTGACATAGGAAAACAGTGAATTATAGTATTTTAGCATTAATCTACTTCATGTGACAGATATGAAAACTGACATCTAAAGAAGTAAATCGATTTGCTTAAGGTTACACAGACCTCATTACCTATCATCTCCAGAAGACTCTTGCATTTTAAAATGCAAATGTAATCTGGAAGGTCATTTTTTATCTTTAAAAATGAATTTCAATTTTGCCTAGTGATAAGCCCCTATGAATCCTAAAATATAAATGGTTTCAGGGGAATATGAATGGGTTTTATGTACTGCTTGATTTTCAAATTCAAGAAATCTGTATCTCAGGAAACTTAAAAATACTACAGAATATGGAAAATAATAAAAATATCTGGCCCCCAGCTTTCAAGTTACCAAAAGTAATAACCAACCAAAAAATTCTTAAGAAAATAAAAAAGGCTTACCATTAACAAATACTCCTCTAATAAGTTTAGTATATGCTTTATCTAGATCTCCACGACGCTCAGCATTTTTAAAGATTGATTCTGCAAGTCCAGCAAATTCTTCAAATTCAGCAACAAATGGAAGAATTCCTACTTTACTCTTCTTTGAGATCTTTACTTCTTCCATTTGCCTTATTTGGTTACTCTAAAGTTAGGCAGAAAGCAAGGGATAGAAATAGCTAAGCAACTTAGAAATAACACGTGAGTAAAAATGTGTATCATAGAGGTGAGACACAGTTTACTACCTAGAACATTTTGGATGTTTACTAATTAAAGACTAATACATTGGGGATAACTAAGAAAAATACTCCCATTAAAAAGTACATATATTTTATTTAAGAAAATAAAATCAAGGAAAAATCCAAATTACTTAAAACAAGATACAGTCAAAGCTTGTGAACTTCAAGTCTGTTTAAAGTAAACACAACCAATAAATATTTCTATCACTTATGAAAGATAAGTATAAGGCAATTGCCATTTTGGGGCAGAACAGTTGCGAGAGCACACACATCTCTCTTGTTACTTCTGGTTGGTGGCCATGTGGTTTGAGAACTACTGTCATTTTCAGTTCTTATCTGTCTAAACTTTGTTTTGATAGATAGGTTCTGTATTTTTTGAGTGTGAGAACAGAGAGGGAGAACAATCATTTCTATTACAGATTTGCATTATATAGTTTCCCATGTATCTATCAGTTACTTATTCTAAGTTCATCAAAGGGCTTGTGTATAATGGTGACAAAGTGCAAAAGGGGTGTTTTGTATAGACAGAATCTAGCTCTTTGGATTCAGAAAGATTCATGGATTCAATTATGGTTCTGTGTACCTCTCAGGAGATCTAGATCTATTCACATTAAGAACTACACTTATACTGCTGGATCATTTTCACTTTCTACCTTACATTTCAATGTCTTGAGATCTTACAGGTATAACTTGAAAAACAAGTAACAGGTGGATTAGAAAAGTAGCTGTTTCTAGGTTACAAGTATTAGTATTGGAAAGCCCTGTGTGCACTGTCAAACATTTCATATTGTCTTTATTACTATTCCACTTCATCAATATTGGTAACTGCGAGGAACAAAAATGGGTGCAGCAGAGAGGGTAGAGTAAAATCGCAGCACTGAAACCAGACTGTCTAGGTGTGAATACAACTCTTATCAGTTTAAAACTGTCAACCTGGGGAAGATAACATAGCCTCTCAGGTAATCTACCATATGTTAGGGGCAGGGAAGAGTTTGGGATGATTAGGTAAGATAATGTGTGCAAACTGCTTAGATCAGTACCTGGTATATAGTAAACATGGATTTGTGAATGCTGGTCTGTTGTTATTAAGCTGCATGAACATTTCTGTTCTGTGTGGCATTTAAATGCACAGGATGTAATTATAGCCTGAATGTACTTTAACATTAATAGGAAATATTCTAAACGACATTTGTCTTCTCTGGCTTTGTAACTGACAGGGTAGAAACAGTGCATTCATTTAAGAAAAGAGCCATCAATGAACTAAACCTCAGAAAAATAAAATTTCTCTCCAGCTAAAGGTAGTATCATTTCAAGCTGACCGTCCAATCATACAGTCTCCAGAAAGACATGGAGGTTATTCAGTGTTTAAGGCTATGACTTTGGTGTTAGCTACATATCACTGTATTACTTGTCTATCCTTTTTCCATGGCAATTTAATGCAATCATATCATTTTCAAAGGTTTAGGAGTGCAAATCCATACCACTGTAGTGTGAAGAAGCCTGGAAAGCAAATTAAATGCAGTTAGGAATGTGACAGACTGCAGAAATCCCTGAGAACATTACATTCCCCAATGGAAAGCTGGAAATCTCTTGATTTAAATACATTTACCTATTTTTTGCAATGACTAGAATTCTAAGTTTTAAAAAAATCCAAAAACCTTACAATGCATTTGTCAAAGTTCCTTTTGACAGTCACCAAAACATTTCCCAAGGTAGTACTCAGAAAAGAAGCAGGGTCCATGTTTTGTGCAGTCCACACATGATGACTCATTTTGACCAGCATGTAAAGGGAGTTAAAGCTATCAATTTTGTCTCCTAATGCAATTAGGTTGTTCAGTTCTGGCTCAATGCAGCGAAATATTTTAATCATCATTTGACGAATCATCTCTCTCCTATTCAGAAGACATACAAAACATAGAAAGTTATTACAAACTTCAGCTGTATTCATCTTTAACTTTAAGCCACTGGGTATATACAAAATGACTAAAATTTGGTATTTTAACTAAAAATATCCAAATATGATGAACTAACTTTTCTACAACAGTTTACAATATAAAAATATTTGTTGAGGAGTTACTTTTGTCACTTAAAAAACTTATGTCACTTCTAAAGCTGGGTCCTGAAACGTACTTTGTGATTACTGAAAAACATGCAATTCAAATGCTACTTCCTACCAGCAAACATCAAAACAAAAAAAGCATTTTTGTGATTACTAGAGCAAAGAAGAGCTGAAAAGTCCTGCAACAGGGCCAGTTTCAATTCAGTAAGATGTCTGATGAGACAGTGGGCACGTATGTTGGTGCTCTGAGTGCTGTCAGGTTACTGAGAGTCATCTGGACTTCTCACTGAGTTTCACTCCCCTATGGTTAATTTAAAAGTTAATTTTCTTTCCAAAATAAACAATAGTAACAAACACATACTCAGATGAAACAGGCAGTGGTGTGCCAGAATTATGTTGCCGTGATAATGTTCCTCCATCTAGGTCCTCTGCTTCAGTCTGCAAAAATTATTCAGGTACTTTACATAATAAAAAACCAACAATTTGACTAGTTCATATAGCAAAAGCCTGCTCAGTCTTAAGATTCCTAAGAGAGAATATATTATGAAAAATAATGATTTTTAAAGGTAGTATTACTAATCAAACTATATAACTTAGAATGCTGTTTAAGAATGTCTGTGAAATGCTTTGTTCTTAGATTTCATCTGAGAATTACTGTAGGGTGAGGCATGTTTGAGTGCTTGCCTGTGAGGGAGAAGCTGGGAGTGAGAAGATACAGGAGGCTCAGAGCGGGTTTGGGAATGAGAATAATATATGGTGTTTCAGGAAGGATCCATAAACAATTTTCAAGAGAGAGTTTTAAAATTAATCTCATCATTCTAATAAGACTTTGGCATTTAAAAAAGGCCACCAAGAATTCTTACAGAAGCTAGTAAGAAAATTTACTACCATTCCCATTTACAACAGTAAGTCCCCAACCATTTAGATAATTTCTCATTTATTTTATGACTATTTATTTGTTAGTTCTCTTTTTAAAGATGACCTTAATTTAAAAATAGCTTTATTTGCATTGTGCTTGTAATAAATCCTTCAAAATATTCTAGCAAATCTCGTTTTATTTTGTTACATTTATGCTACCTGAGAGGCATGCTGAACAGTTATTACTATAATTGTACAGATGAAAAAACTGGGAATTAAATAATTGGCTTAAGGTCTCATAGTAACAAAGTCATAAGAAGAGTCATCTGAAGCTCATTTCGTTTTCTTCTGTTTTTTTTTTTTTTTGGTAGACCAGGGTATATACAATAAAACGTCATTTTTAAAAAAACAATTTTTTCTTGATGACTACTAAAATTGCTTTTTAAATGATGTTTTCTGTTAAGTAAATTCAGACATCTTTTCCCCTCACTAACTTAGATAATGTTTAGGTCTAAGACAGTCCGGAATATTAAATTAGATGCCCAAATTCTATCACTGTTTTTAATATCTCACAATATTACAGAAATTATTTAAAACAACCTTACATCGTAAATTCTTTCTTTCCCTGTTCTGATACTGAAATCATGACAAAGTCATTAGGTAATTATGCTACAGATCATAAACACTAGCCAATAAATAATTGTGAGACATACCACAGTTCCAGGAATACTCTGATGCTGCAGCTTGAAAAATTTACTAATGAAGTCCTGTTCTGCCAGACATAGAGGCTCCAGTTCACTGAGGACCTGTTCAAAGATCTGAAGGAAACCAGAAGGACCTACAGTGAGAGAACTGCAACACCTGCTTAATGTAACATTTCACGTTCAATTCACTTTCCACAGGTACTATTGATGCTTTACTTAGAATCTCAACAGAATCCCCAAAACAAACCCTCTCAAGAGTGACAGGACAATGCAGAATTACAAAGATATCACGGGGCCAGACATACCTAAAAGAAAACTCACAACAATTATTTATTTTAAAATTTGGAAAGAGGAACACAGAGATAAACTTTTTAATCCTATTGAATGCATTGAAGAGAATAGTTTAGCTTCATAAAAGCTGTTACTTCCTTTTTATGTTGTATTTACTCACGGAACTTATGCTTGATACATAAGAACTTTATGATTTATAACAAATTTTAATAAAGCTGTTATGTCATGTAATTGATGGTGCACATTTCACTTACCAGTTGACTATTACTTTTTCAGATTCAGAACTGGAAAGGAAGACATGGTTAATTAAGAGAGCCAACAGAGACCAAATGTTTGACCACACTTAGAGCAGTAACAAACTGCTGTTAGAAAACTAATATTAATGTTTAAGAAGTCACTTGTTATTTTATTTTACCTTATCAAATTTGGTTCTGTCAGCAACATCAAGATCAGAGGCAGACATGTTTCCCATATCCAACAATGAAGATGATTGAGATCTGCGATTCCCTGAACTCTGAACAGTAAGTTTATTTAGACTAGAAGTAGATCCAGTTAATTTCCCAGAACTTCCATGAAGACCTAAGAAATAATAAAACTCTGTAAGTTGTGACCTTCATGAATAAAAGATCTGTAGCACAAATTGGGGCTCTCTTCCACTGTCTTGGTCTTCCAGGGCTCTTATTAGCTACTGCACAAGTCTGCCACATGGCACAAGCTGTAGAGTGCCCTCTTTCATTAACATTTATGTCCTATTCCTGAGCATATTGTAAAGAGTAATGAAACCACACAGATTTACAGAATAGGACACAAAGGGATCTTAAAGATTACATTATCTATGCCCTGCCAGTGTCACCATAAAACTGCTTGATACCATCTCTAGACTAAAACAGATGAGGATTTTTTTTCCCATTAAGAAGACATGAATATCGATAAAAGTCGCTGACTATCCCCACCACCACCACCCTGTGCACTAGCTAATATGACTTTGTTATATTTCTGAGGAAAACTGCCATATCCTGATATTACTCGCCTCCGCATTAAATCAACATATTAGAGTGAACAATATGACGCTGCTAATACTCCTTTTTGCCCTACAAAAAAAGTCAATTACATACGATTCAAACCAGAAACTCTGCTTTCACAGTAAGTGAACTGATTATAGTTTTTTAAAAACTAAACAAAGAAAAAAACACACCGAAAACTTGTCATATTTAAAGCAGAACTAAAATATAATAAATACTAGTGTAACCATATTAATTCAGGACATCTGTGTTTAGGTATAAACATAGGTATCCATTATAGCCATGAGAAAAAATGAGAATAATATATGGTGTCCCTATCCACCATATATTTTAATGGACAGTATCCTACACACATCAAGGAATTAAAGGATTTTAAAAATTAAAGGATTCCATTTTTACAAGAAGATGTGACATTTTCATTTAGAATTAAATATAAATGACAAATAATTTAAAAAAATTTTTTCTTGAATATTTCCCAGTTAACCTGTATTACTTGCTGATGGCCAGAAGGAACAAATGAAGACATAATAAGGACAATTAAAGACAAACTTTCATTTCATTATGTAAAATCTGACCATATCTGTAAGAATTTTTCAAGTTTTTAAACACAGACTAAAAACAGAAGTGTAATGGTTAAGTCTTTCCATAAATTTCTGATTACCCACCACATATTTTTAACTATATTACATATTTCTTGGATGTAGCCATACAACTATTATCATGTTGGATTTTTTCACCAATACCTAGCAATCAGTATTTTTGGTGTACCTTTTTCAATATGCATGTAATTTGTAGGCATTGAACGAATATGCACTGAGAATACCTACTAACACACTCAGCATACTCACTCTCGGTTTCCTGTTTGACAGCACTTTCTTTTCGAGGCAGTGTAGCTGTGATGGATTAGGTTGCAAGCATCAAAGACAAAGACAAGTTAATAAACTGCAATTTGCACAAACCATGCACAAGAGGAAGTTAAAGCTCTAGTTTAAAAGACACATGCAAAGAACCATGAGCATCAAGTAACGAGAGATGTAACATACGTTTAGTTGGTCAGCTACTGTTTGAAAAATTATCTGAGGGAAAAAAATTTACTAGTCTTTCAATGTATTGCTTTTACTCAAATATTCACGTAAAAATATCTGTACTTGTAAACCTTCCCACACTTTTAAATAATTACTTTTCTTTTAAGTTTATGAAGTTGGTATACTTAACCTTAAAAGACTGTATTTGCAAGTTTTGGTTTCTGAAGAAAATATATTCAAGGAAATAATTTAATACAGTGGAAATTTATAGAATGAAGTTTTAAATTTAGACATTAAATGCATCAACAATCTTGTCTTGGAAAGCACCTGAATTCTATTTAATTAATTTTATTAAATAATTTTTTATACATCTGATTAATAATTTTATACTATGTCTGATAAAAGATGATGAGTGGGGCTTTTCAAAATATGAAGCTCAACTACATAGTAACTGGCTTTGTGAATACCTAGAATGAAAGGTATATACCAGAATACTAATTACCAGGAGATGGGTCAGTGGAAGGGTAAAGCCAAGGGAGTAACCCATTTAATACAGGAATTTGAGTTCTTTTAGGGTCATTTAGTATTTCTTTTATCCTATAACTTCTCCCTATACAGTATATATACATTAGATCAATCAAGATGTGGAAATCATCTTGTGAAACATTCTAAACTCAAATTAGAAGTTAATATGAAAGGCAAAGAAATTATAGAATGAAACAGAAAATTAGAGACTATAACATAGAAATATTTTAAAAACAGAGAACAGTGTGTCAACTGTCACTATTTGTGCGAAACTTCGAGACTAAAGCCCAGATATAAGCTATTAACTTGTCACACATATCTTCCCAGCTTTGGCTACCTGAAGCTCAAAGAAATATGGAACAATAAGGTTACACCGTAAAGTGCCAAGCAGGAATCTTGCCAGAGCTACTAGCCAGCCAATCTGAACAGTCCATTCTGGTGGTCTTAGGGTGTCACTATACTAAGTTCACCAGTTCCAGAGAAAAGCCTAATATTTCATGTACTTTTCTTTTTTCTTCCTTTTTTTAGTAGCCAATAATGAATACAGAGTTACTAGTACTGCCTATTAAGTTACAATTTGGGGATCATAAGAAGTCTATATTATTTATCATCAGCAAGCAACAATATTCAGGTAAACTTATCTTTAAATAATTCCACTAGTCTATAAACATCATTAGGTTAGGGGCTTTGCTCGTTGCTGCATTCTCAATACCTGTCAGTGCTTATTATATATGAGGTAAATAATACATATTTATTGAGTAAATCTTCTAGCCAGCACTGATTTAGTCTTGTATTCAAGACTTCCTTTGGAATCAACAAGATTTCTTAGTTTAGTGGAGAAACATAGATTGAAAAAAATGACCCTGGCATACTGTTTTTTTCCAGATTTTTTATAAATAAGAGGGAGGCAGTAAGTATGTAAATGCATACATTAATGGATTAAAGTGCTGTGTTTGTGTATTCTAGCTGTAAAAAAAACTAGTGATTTTTAAGTAATCACTAAATTTCCTTTGCTTGCCATTTCATTATGTGTATCTATTGAACACAAAGGGGGAAAACAACCCACCAAAATACCAATCTTGGGGGGGTAAATATCAAAGTAAACCTATTAATCAAAAAAAGCACCTAAATAAAGACCTATCACAAAGAAAAGATATTTTACTGCGTTTGAACATTATTTTGAATTATTTGAACTAAGTAGATGTTATAAAGACTTGAGTCTAGACTGGTTCAAAAAGAGAGTATTCCCTGAATCTCTGAACCTATAGTGATTGTACAATTTCCTTTTGTAAAATATATTCAATCTGACTTTCTATTCTTATTAGCATCTATGACTCAGCATTTTCAAAGTAAAAAACAAAATAATTTAAGCTTTATGCTTAATTCTGATTCACTGAAGTTATCATTCCAAAATTTCAGGTTTGTTTTAATTATAATTATTATTAAAAACTGATTTAAACATAATTTGAATCATGGAAAAGATGTCTTTGAAAAAACATTCTACCTTATTTAAAACTTAAGTCATTTGTATTTAACTTGAAATTTACTTTTAAATGCTAATATATTAGATATTCACAGATGAACCAAGTCTTTTTATCTTAATTCTGTTTATTATTTAGTATGTCTTCTCCTGTAGCTGATGATATCAAAATAACTGAAACTTTAATTTTCTGGTGCCATCAAATATCACAAATTACTCTCTTAATGTTATTTAATACAGAAGAGATATAATTTTAATGCTGTTTTAAAACTATAGAAGAGTCTTCTATACTTGTATTATGTTAATTTAAAATTTTTAACAAGATAATTTAAGAACTCAAGGGGTATGAAAAAATTTAGGTTTCAGGTTAATACCATGATACCATTAAGATAGTATTGTACTTGATTTAAATCATATTTTTATCATGCCATTTATCTGAATGTGAATCTTAGGCTTGATAAAGTATAATGAAACTGGGATTAATTACTTCCTGAAGAATTTTAGAAAGATTTCTTTTACCTCTTGTTTTCATATACTAGAGTTCTTTCAAAATAAAATGGTTCACTAACAAGTAGTGACAAAAAACACTTAACATGTAACTGCCATTAATACACTGTTTACTAAAAAAGAAAACAAAGCATAACATATCCACAGTGAAACATTAACAAGGATATAAACACACCGTGTTTAAGAACAATTAACCTTTAGGATGAGTTAGCATTTCCGTTTCCAAAAGCCTATTGTCCCAAGATTCTTATTACTATCTTTCCCTAAGTGTAACATATTTGTACACAGATTCAATTTCAAAAGTCTGGATTAGTAAAATCAATATATTAGTGTTGTATTTAAAAAACAAACCATCCAGTGAATTACAAAATAATTACCCACTAAAGACAGTCTTCTCTGTCCTAAAGGAAGGAATGGAAAGATGTGCTGTCAATTTCAATCCAATTTTCTGATTACCAAAGTTGCTTAGGGCATAGGCTCCTTTCAACAAGCAAATGCTAAACTCATTATACTAAAGGAGCTAGGAAGACACACTGAGGAGTACACACTGTAGCCATTTAAGGCCAGGTTTTGACTTGAAATAGGCACAGAACTCCATCCAAAAGGAACTCCAGAGATGGGTACATGCAAGAGCAGAATGTGGCCTTGGCAAATCACCTTCCTCCCAACTTTATACTTTCACTGGTTATCCTTTCAAATCATGTTTTTGTCTGTTTAACAAATTTAGAAGCAACAGAAAAAAACCATGCTTTAAAAACATCTCTTTGGAAAACCAAGGTATATTTGCAGCAGAAAATTTGGTAACATTTTTATAGCTCCTTTGGAGAAAATATTACAAACTTTCTTTTTTGATTGAAAATAGCCAGTGAGAAGTAAGAAGCCAGGAATCACTTTCATTTCCCTGCGGAGAGCAATGCCTTAAGAGATCAGTGTCTTGCCCCTCTACTGTCATAAGAGGTCTTTCAGGAAGTCAGAAACTGAACTATCAATGTGTGTCTCTTAAATCTAGTATTTTCTCTGCCAGATTTAGTATTTTCTAGCCAACTCCTTTTTCTATTAACAAATACTTTAAATTATAGCATGAATATACAATTGCTGTCAAATTCACATAATAGAGGATATTAGTAAAAAACATATTTACAGATGTAAATATTTGTTCTATGAAATACCTATAAATAAAGCCAATACATTAGTCTCACTTTTATTAATTCTACTGCATCTTCTTCCACCTTGCTTAAAAAGCTTTAGAATTATTTGTCATAAACAAAACCATTTTTAATAGAAAACATTGAATTGAGGTGTCTAAGCTTACCAAACTTCTTGCTTTCTTTAGTTGTACCAGTCATCTTGATCTTTGCAACTTCAAAGAAGTCTTTAATTTCTCTCTCATACAGTCGTGATAAATAATCCATGTAATTCTTAAAATAAAAGTAACATATACTTATTAATAAAACAAATATAACACTTCACATTTTCAATGCCCCAAAATCCTTCGTGCTTGTTTTAAATTTTGTGGTTTAAAATTTTGGTGTATTTCATAGGACCTAAAAATCCCAGGAAGAAAAAAATAAGGCTATTTTCTGTCTTTAAAAAAATTGAACAGGCCATCATAACATTAGCAATTTATAAAAATATGAAGTTGATCATAATCACAGATATTTTCATTTTTACATATTATTTCACATATTTTAAATACAGTTGCAGTCATAATATATAGGATATTTGAGTCAGAGCAGTCACATTTCTTCAGTCTCAGATTGCACAGTATTATGCTTTGTTGACGTACTACCATTTAGTAAACCAAACTCCTCTAACAGGGTCATGCAAGTGGTTTCAATGTTTTGCTATGATAGACAACGTTACAATAAGCTTTTCATCTGTAATGAATTGTTTCCTTGGAATAATTTCCTAAGGGTAAAATTACAGGGAATTTTATAACTGTCCTCCATACTACCATGTTGCTTTAAAAATGATTACACCAACAGACAGTGTCAATGGCAACAAAGGAGTCCTTTCAGTTTCACTAGGACCCTGTTGGTATTGCCCCAAATAGGTTATTTTCAATAAGAATTTATTTACAATTAGTACATCTTACATATACACAATGGAATATTATTCAGCCATAAAAAAGAAATCCTGCTATTTGCAACAATATGAATGGACCTAGAGGGTATTATGCTGAGTGAATAAGCCAGGCAGAGAAAGACAAATACCATATGATTTTACTTATTTGTGAATATTAAAAAACCCCAACAAAATGAACAAAGTAGCAGTAGATTCATAGACACTGAGAAGTGACTGGTGGTTACCATGTGGGAGGGGTAGGGATAGGTAGGTGGGGACAGGATAAAGGGGCACAAAAATTCCCAATCATAATATAAGTTGGTCACAGGTATGGTAGTAGAGCATTGAGAATATAGCCAATGATTCTGTAACACTTTTCTATGTTGACAGATAGTAACTGTAGTAGCTGGGGTGAGGATTTAAAAATATGGGTAACTGCTGAGCCACTGTGTTATATACGTGAAACTAATATAGGATTGTATATCAACCATACTTAAATTTTAAAAAATTAGTACATCTTAGTTTTCATAAACAATTTATTTTTTAAAAAACAAAATTGATTTCTTAAACGTTCATTTGAACATTGAAAATTGATGTTCAAATGAAAACATCTATTATTTAGCATAGAAACTCCTATCTTCATCATATCAGCTTACCATTACATAAAAATATTTTATACTCTCAGGAAGGATTCTTCAAAGTGGGAGACCATCTATTTTTCCAAGTCCTAAATTAAATACCATATACAGACTTTGACTTAATTTAAATAAATTCACAGCAGAAAAATTGTACCTAGGTATTCTTTAAAATGTATCATTAATCTAAGCTTCAACCTCCTTTATTATTTCAGATTAATACCTGCTTTGAACATCAAGTACACCTTTCAAAAGGTATATATATTATGGAAATATCTGTATACTGACTTAGAGTTTACTGATTTTCTTATTTTATAGATACATCCTTAAAAAATAGTGTTTGGATGAAACATTTTATAGATCCTGCTTTTTTCAATTTGTAGGTTCTACACATTTCCCACATACTCTGTCAAAAAAGTTAGACTAATAGGCAATTCTTTCCTATGATATTTCTATAACTTTAAAAGCAAATATAAATAAAAATAAAACTTAAAATTAATTCCTATTTCACTGGGCTGTCTCTCTTTTTCAATGTCTCATTTTTTTTAAGTTTAAATTCTCATTAAAAAATTGATCACTGCAAATCAGCAAATGTTGACAATGGAAAATTAGCTTTGCACCATTTGTAAAATGTTCATCAATGGTTTGTACTGAAATTACTCAGTATCAGAGACTGCATTCCAATACCCAAATTATTTAATGTACACATTCCTACCCAAGCAATTAAACAGTTTCAAAAAGCTATTTTTGTATCTAGAAAACAGCCACTAGAGCAGGCTATGGAAAATCACTCCCTTTTTCAATGCATCTTAAATGACTGGATACTTTTTTCCCAGGTACTCAACAGAACTTACTAGTGGGGAAAGGTCAGACAGGTGTGCCTATCAGTTAATTCATTTACCAAACCCTAAAGGGTGTGCCTCACTGTGAATACGTATTCCTCTTATACATCACACAACTTAAAATTTAACTGTCATGAGTTTAAATATTGTTATCTTAGGCAGTCTTTTCAACTCTGTTTTGTGCTGGCTGTACAGTCTCACAGGGATTTCCATGTTTTACATTTTCTTTACACTAAAAGATAAATTCCACAAAGGTAGAACTGAATTTGAGAGAAGATGTCTGAGGAACCTTCAAGATTGACTCAACGTCAGGAGGTTATGAATAGAGGGAAGCTCATTTCCTCTCCAAGCATGGATGGACCATCTCTATCATTAAATGCTACATGTATTACCCAGAGCCACAGATAGGAGCTGTAGTCCTGGGGAGAAGGATACCTGGGCAGTTGAGTTCATTACATGACCCAAGACAACCCTATTTTCCGTAGGCTCTTATCTTGTATATAGAAGTCAGGGCTGTGCTTAGATTCAGCCATAAGTTGGCCTGGGGCAGGGCCTCGTGATTCTTATCCCTAAAGAATTTGAAACAGGCTTTCTTTCCTGCTTCTGCCAAAAAGTGTGACCTGTGTACACCAAATCAAGTGCAAATTGTTATCTGGATTTAATTATCTTTTTCTTACTACAGAAATGCTGGTTTGTCTGTTTCCTTCTTTCATTTATTTTTTTCTCATTCCCTTTTAGTGAAATTTCTGTTTTTGACAAGTTCAGTAACTAAATTAGATTATGAGGTAAAATACATAGCTTGTCAAAAGTTCAAACCACAAGATCAAGTAACATTCCTGGGAAATAAGTAATTTCATTTAAAAAAGCTCATTAATATTATCAATTGAAAGCATACTGTGAGTGGAGAATGATTCTATACATCATCTCTAGGTTGATTATATAATGTCTATTTTCTTCACTTTACATTCATGAATACTGAATTATATATGAATATAGGGCAATAATACTGAGAATACAATTAGGCAAAAAGCTTATTGATTACTTATTTGAATATTCACTAGGGGACAAAGCACTTGTTGGCACAAAACTCTTAAGGAGATACAATAATGTTTAATTATTCAAAATACTAATCTTCATAAAAGTTCAAAAGGCAAAGAATTCCAGTAAAGTAAATAGTTTTCCTTAAGATATCTCCAAATCAGAATTCTGTTGAATGAAACAAAACAAAATATAACACAACAATAGAGTTGTATTACACTTACTAATTCTGAAGAGTAAAAATAATAATCTTACTTAAAATAGCTAGCCAGATAAGGTGTATATAAACACCTCAGGATATTTATATTCTTTTTGAAAAGCATTTTTAATTCAAAAATATTATTTATTTTGCCAAGGTTTATATCCCCTTTCTTATGATCTCAATTTAAAGGTAGAGGAACCAGATTTTACTTTAAATGGGCAAAAGCACTTTGAAGAGAAAATACATACATGAACACTGACATGTAAGAATGTCCTTTTGCCAAATATGTTGATATCAATACATTGATAGGAATGTATAATCTGCCTTTTTCTTATCATAATGCTTCTCATTAATTTCTACCTAATCCTCTACCTCTCATGAAGCATAAACATGAGATAGTGGATAGGAATTACAATAATGATTCAGTAAGTGTAAAGGTGGATTCATGTATAAATATTGGTTTCCTGAGAGAATAATCTTTATTTATAAAATACTCTGAAAAAGAGCAGTACTTTGTGAATAAAAGTAGGAAAAATTTTTGCTAGCAAAACTAACAAAAATAACATGAGTTTTCTATCTAAATTCTCTGTTAAGAAGTTTTTGCCCGTAAGCACACAGAAGAGCCTTTACATTAACAATTCCAATATTTTCACTCCACAGAGACAAAACACATCACTCTTTTCAACTCAAGAACATCTTTTAAAAAAAGGTCATATTGTCCACATGATTAAATTATTACTAATTACAACAGCTTATGCCTATTTGGAATTTTTATTTTTAAACTCTAAATTCATAAAAATTTACAGATGAAAGACTTCAAATGTTTCCCAGGATATTTCAGAATTTTAAGTAAACTGCTCTTATATGTAATACATAAATATAGCTATTTATATATTTAAGTTAGGTAGCAATTCCTTAGGTTCCCTAAGTGACATGGCCATTTCCAATACTAAATAAAGGTCACAGCATAAGTGCCAGAAAAATACTATAACCATGGCTTCCAGCTACAATGGCCATGTATGAAATATACGTCAGATCATGCCATTCCATTGTCCAAAGTCCACCCCCAACCTCCACCCAATCTCTCCCACAGTAAAAGCCAAATCCTTACAATGGTGCACAGTTCCTTTCAGGTCTGCCCGCTCCACCCAACCTTAGCTCTCCTACTTGCTCTTCTCAGACCCCTGGATCACTATGCTCCAGCCACACTGGCCCCCTGGCTGCTTCTCAGGCATGCCAGCATGCTCTTGCCTTAGGGCACCTGCACTGTGCTTGGAAAGCTTTCCCCCAGAAACTCCCACTGTTCATCCTTGCTTATCTTTAGAATCTGTGCTCGAACATCACCTTATTCTCATGCCCTATTGAAACTGCAGCCTTCTCCCAGCCCTAGCATTGCTTGCTTTTTCTCTAGAAAACTCAGCAGCTCCTTCTAACATACCATATAATTGATTTTTGTCATTCAGAATACATGCTCTGAGAAGACAAGCATTTCTCTGATCCTTTAGTGCTCTGTCTCTAGCGCTTAAAACAGTGTTAGCACGTAAGGGTATCCATTTGCTGAACGAACATATCAATGAACGACACATCCTCTCCAGTTGCTGATGTGTTGTCAGTGGTATATACCACTGCTCTCCTAGGTTCCGAATCCAGCAAGTTTGGCATCATCCTGTCCCTTCTGTCCTTAGAGTCACTCTTTTATGTTCTCTAGGCCTACCACTTATCTTTCTGATTTAAGATTTCATTTCATTTGAATTATTATACTAGGCTCTTAATTTCCCTCATCCAGTCTTCTCCCATGTAAAAGGAATGCTGGTTAGGGCTCAAGGCTCATCTTTTTCCATATAATTTCTCCCTGATTCAGGATATGAAATTCCTGTTTCAGTCAGGTTTGCCTCCTTATTGTCCTGAGAAAATGATGTATTTTCTTCCACCTTCGTCTGCACTTCTTATTCCTCATCCTTGGAATGCTCTTTTTCTTTTAGTTAGTGTACTAATCCCATTCATTTAAAACTCAATTTAAGTCCAGTATCTTCCGTGAAGTTTTCCCCATGGTTTCAGGATAGGGATTTCTCTTCTCTAAACCATCATGTATTTAAATTCATTTCCAGTTTAGCACTTAATTTTTTGCTGATTGTCACAAGTATAATTGTTCTTCCCAGTCAGACTCAAAGCTCTTTAGAAGTAGAGGCTTGCTTGTTAGGCCGTGTGTGCCTGGAGTAGTAGAATGCTTTGTACTTGCCTTACTGAACAGATTATCAACTATGAGAAGAAAAATGCCTCACTCACACATCTTCATACTCCCTAATTTCTATACCGCACATAAACGAAACTCAGGAAATAACTATAGTGTTTAATTAAATTGAATGATCCTTTGGGCTAGAGTATGGCCCAATACTATAGTAAACTGAAGTTCAAAATTGAGCTATTCTTTATCCAAGTAAATAAAATAAATGTTCTCCCTAGCTAATGAGCACTCAGTAATTGAATTACTTTCTGCTTTGCTAAGTATGTGCTACAGTATTTCAAATGTCACTTGGGGAACTGAATATATGACCTCTTGACTCTTAAAGATTATGCTCTCTACTCAGCAAGTAATTGATGTCAAATCCATACCTTTGCCAGTCCCTCATATTTTCCATAATCTGTACTCTTTAGCCACTCCATCAGTTTGGCATATCGGAGCAAGTCTCTATGAAATGGATGATGGTTGGGTAAAGCCAGTTCAACAGAGTGTTGAGCAAGAGTTGAACTCTGATCATGACCCTAGAGTGAGTAAAAAAGTAAATTAATACATTGACAGTACAAGAAACATTGTTGTAACTGAAAATCTAAACAATGACCAAATGTGGCTGAGCAAAACCAATAGGATATAGAAAAATAAATAGCAAGTACTTGTCTTCTTTCATCATCCTGTGTATACAAACTGAACATCACTACCATAAAATAATCAGACATGCGAGAATGATGCTGATAAATCAACTAGTCATTTCATCTTCTAAATCGAGTTGAAAATGTTTTGATCAAGTTTATTTCTCCCATATCATATCATTTTACAATTTATTAAGCAAATATATTTCATGATACAAACTGTATTAAGAAACATACCAAATACGTAAGTCATTCAGAACAAATTTTCTACAACATATGGTATTTCCATTAGAGTCTACACCATATGAAACAACAAATAAAAATATATAGAACATAGAATTTTTGAGTGAGGAAAGCCTATAGATGATTATATCCTAGACCCCTGGATAATCTCTAACAATAATATAATTTTAGTTCTTCCAGTAATTTGTTAAGTAAGTAACTACACATGATTTTTAAACCTTGACAAGACTTTTAACAAGTAAATTAGTAAGTTATCTAATGGCCTAAGACAGATGATGTATGTATCCTGATGTCTGTTTTGGAAAATACAGACCCCTTAGATCATTTGATCTAAAAACATGTTCTAGAAAAAGAAATTCAAAAGGTTAAGTGATTTGCTTAGATCACACTGGAGGAAAGCTAGAATTGGAATCTTATTCATGTGAATTTCACTTCTGTTTTCTTTTAAAACATCTAACAAAATCATTGATCCAATGTGGTTAGACTTGCAAAGGTGTGACATTTACCAAGACTCACTGTTGGCATAGATGTGTGGAAAAAGGCATTTTCATGCACTACTGTTGCAAGTAAATTGCCTCAGCTTTTCCTGGGCATCAATTTGGTAGTTTACTAAAATATACCTATTTTTAAGTACATACTCTTCATCAGGAAATTTCACACTTAAGAGTTTTTCTAAGAGGAAAATACTAGTAATGAGCAAAGATATGGACAAATAGTTGGTTATTTTATTATTGTTTAGAATAGCAAAACTGCAGATGTCCTAATTACCCAACAGTAGGAAATTGGTTAAGTAAATGATGATACAGCCATATGCTAGAGTGCTTTACAGCCATTAGAAATTATGATGGAGTCTCATATTTGTTTAAATGGATTCATGTCCATTATGTACTGTTAGACGAAAAAAAGCAGATTTTAAATAGTATGTATAATGTGGTCCCAGTATTATAAAAATAAATATATATGTATACTTTAAAAATCTAAAAGAACATAGAACATTCGCAAGCAAAAAAAAAAAACTAACAAAATCATTTTAATCAGACACAAAAACTGCAAAAGAATTAAACAATAATTTTCCCAGCGCTTTTTTTGAAACAATCCACCTCTCCTTCTCTGCTACTTAGTTAATATTTGTTGTAAAACTCAAAGCCAGTGTCTAAGAGATGGCGAGTTGGAAGATTAAAGGAGCAGATTCCCCTTAAAAAAGTTCCCAAGAATAAGGAAAGGGCAAAAGAAGACATTAAAAAAAAAAGATTTATATGATGTCATTGTGACTCAATCTGATTTGCCTAGAGAGACAGAAGTTATTTGTTAGCATTCTGTGAAAACTGTATTAAAATGGCACAGACTATTGGTGTTTGGGGTGGATTAATTCGTTTCCTGGTAAAATTATCTAAAACTAATTAAATGTGGATTACAGTAGCTGGTATACATTAGCTTATAAACATCCTGAATTTAAATTCTTTAAATTCTAAAGGGGCTTCTTTCTCCTATCTAATTTATATGGTTTGCTATACATAAAATAAGAACTTAGTGGTTTAGATTTTTAAAATAACTTCTTTTAAATACAGAGTATCCACAAAAAATTCCTGGCCTAGGGAAATAAAGAATTCTCTAGTAATTGAGTAGTACCTTTAGAGTAAGAAAGATGAAAGTAAAAGACACAGCAAGTACTAAAAATCATCATTATCTGAGTCTGTTCTTCATTAAAGCTTTCAAATTAGTTGGTTAGAGAATTATCTTCTTGTAAGACTATATCCCCAATTTAAAATGGAAATACAAAAATAAGGACCCATTATGTAGAAATTACATATAAAACTAAAGAACAATCAATATACTTCTAAGATTAATCTTAATGATATCTACTTAGGTTAACTTGGTAAATTGGATCAGAGATAGCAGAAAAGTATTAAAAAACTGGACTGACCAATTCAAAATAACATGAACCCAGAAGGTGGAGGCAAGAGAAATTCACAGCTATCATAGATATTATATACAAGTAATATTAGGTATATAGGTCCATAATCTCTTCCTGTAATTCTAAAACACAAAAAAATTGAAAACTGGTACCCAAACTATTTTGATGTAGAAATTTGACATTCACTGTCATGAGGCTATTTACAGTGTTCAGAAACTACTCACATTTTTTGCTGTAGAACTGTTCTGTGCTTCTATTTACAATGGCCAAGATATGGAAGCAACCTAAGTGTCCATCATGATGAATGGAAAAAGAAGATGTGGCACATATACATAATGGAATATTATTCAGCCTTAAAAAGAAAAGAAATCCTGCCATTTACAACAACATGGATGGATCTAGAGGGTATTATGCTCAGTGAAGTAATCCAGGCGGAGAGAGACAAATACCAGATGATTTCACTCATATGTGGAGGACAAAAGCAAGTAAAACAGAAGGAACAGAATGGCAGTGGACTCAAAGACACCAAGAAGGGACTAGAGGCTACCAAAGGGGAGGGACTGGGGAGGGAGAAGGGGATTAAGGGGCACTATAATTCACCATAACAACATAGGTAGGTCACAGGAACAGTAGTACATCACAGAGAATACAATTAATGACTCTATAACATCTTACTACGTGATAGGCAGTGACCGCACTTGAGGGAATAAGGACTTGATAATATGGGTACAAGTTGAACCACTGTGTTGTATATTTGAAACTATCAGAATGTTGTATATCAATGATACTTTAATAAAGAAAAAACAAGAAATATTCTGTGTTTGATTACAGTGCCCTGCTGCAGACCCTGCTGGAATGGCTATATAATATACAGTATATACATTCTATTACTTTTCTAAAATCTGAGAAATTCTAGAAACACAGCTGACCCCAAGACTTCAGGGTGCATGGACCTTTGTGAATGTTGTCTCCTGGATGGCTGACTAAACAATCAATCACATCTTCCAGCAGAATGACAGAGGAATAAGAGCTACAGTGTTGAGAAATGGAATTATTCTATATGTTTGGAATGCCTGGGCACCTGCATGTTTTCTGTAAAGACTAACAACAAATATGAACAAAATTAATAATATTAAATAAAACACACAGGTATTATCATGGGACTATATATCTAATTACAGCTGCCCAAGGTCAATACAAACATTACAATACAGAAATGTTTTTTAATTGCCACATCATAAGGATGACTGGGACTGTGTTAAGTCACAAACAGTAGATACTAATAAGCATAGATAAATATTATAGTTTTAGGTCTACTAATGTCTCCAAATTGAGTGCCTTAAATTAGTTACACTGATTAAAGGGGAAGAATATTTGACAGACTTGTTATAGCTTATGTTTTCCAAATATTCCATCCTTATTAACAATATTAGATATCTTTTTATTTCCCAAAACAATCTTCCTCAGTAATTTTTTTCAATGATTCAAGACTCAGAATTATTGTTTATGTTCTTCTACAACTGTTTACTCAGGCCATTACATGTTAAGTTATACTATTTAATTCAGTATCAGGAAATTATTCGATTAAAAACCTCCTTTTCTGAAGATGGAGAATTAATTATTAATGTTTATAGAGGATTTTACAGTTTACAAAGTTCTTTCACATATATTACTATTCAAAGCTTTCTTTTGCAAGCAGCATTTTAAGTTCACCATCTCTTGAAAAATCTACTTCTAAAATGAAGAACATCATTACCTTCAAACTATTACTATTAAGGCAGATTAAATGTTTTTAGTGTTAACAAAAAGACTGAATTTTAGAGAGGATAGTTCCACAATAACTATAGGAAATAGGAAAATTAAGTATGTAAGTTCAGTAATTCAATCAATAATATCAATAACAATCAAGATAATTCATATCTAGAACTCTAATGTGCAAAAATTTTATTATGTATTTAAAAAATGAAGACACTCAAACTTTCCTATTATAAATGATAGATTAGTAACAACAACACACACACACACACACACATATATATATATATATGAAAATTCTAATCTAATTTTCACAATAATCTTGCAAAGTACTTTCCAGCTCATTTAAAAAAACAGCAAAACTCTATTATTAACTTCACTTAAAAATAGTATGTTAGGCTTTTGTCCAAATTAACCTAAGACAAATACATTTTCTAAAAACCCACTGAGTTACAAATATTTATTAGTGTATATATTACTAGAATCTATGCCAGAAAGACGTCAACTAACTTGTCCAAGGTCACCCAGGCAGGCAAAAACAGTCAGGATTTTGATTCCAGAAGTTTGGCTCCGGCATTTATTTGCACTCTTAACCATTTTGTAACACTGACTTTTTAATAGAAATGTCAAATGTTGAATACATTTTCAAGGTCTAGAACTCTTTCTATGTCTGGCATGTTTGTTTTTGTTTTCTTAAAGAAGAAAATCTTCATGAGTTCCAACAAATGTCACATAAAATGACTTTAAGTAATTGTAATTATTTTGAAGCTTTTAAACTATTATCAACCTATGTTTAAAAAATTTTGAAATGTGCTTAAGGAAACAGTTTTTGTGAAATGAACTGAATACTGGTGTTCTATTACATTATATAGGTTTTATTTTATTTTACTATGTGATGTTTTCATAAATACATGTGGAAAGAAAAATTTCCAAACTTAAGTATATAGCGAAACCCCTCACAACTTCAGTTATTTTCTGGTTCACTGCATATCAGTCTCTTCATGTTGCTAATGGAAAATGAACAGAATTATGAGCTCTCTGTAGAGCCAAAGGGGGAAAAAAAGGGCAAAGAACAGTTATCCTTTCTACATAAATCTTAAAAAAAAAATGACCAAAAGAATTTATTTAAAGGATATGCAAGTATTTCCTCAATTTCATTAGCCTAAATCTGACTGCCTGCTTTCTATATCAGAATCCTAACTGGTGCAACTGGCCTGCTCTTCATAGCTTAGTATCCTTCTGGATACATGAATCCCTAGAAAAATATAAAAATTATGTGGAAAAGTCTGTAATTTCAATGGAAGATGAGGGTATAAGAAGATCTATAAGAGTCAAAAAATCTAGCCATTGTTAAAATATCACTCTCATATTAAATGTATATACAGTAAGAAGCAAATATTAAATAAAAATTGATTTCAAGTTTCATTAAAACATAGCTATGTAGAAGTAATACAAAAGTTGCATCATATTTAGCATGCTCTTGATGAGTGGTTCCCAAATGTGAAGTATTTTTTTACTGGCCTACAGCAATATGAAATAAAACGATGGGAGTGAACTTTTCATAAAGGTAAATGTATTGATTTTAAAAGTCTGAAATTATGTTCTTTTTCTTTTAGTTGTAAAAATGTTATTTTTATATTAAAAAGACTGAAAGTAGGTGGCAGCATTTTTTTTTCTTAGGTTTTATTTGGTAAAATAAAAAAGCAGTGACTTGGTAAGACTCCCAATTTTCTTTAATTTTACTGATGTGTGAATTAAAAAAAAAAGGGAAGGCTCTTAAATTACTTTTATGCTGTAATCAATAGATTATTTCCACTGAATTCTTCTGCACAGTAGTTATACCTATACATTTGCTAAAAACTGCACTACACACTGTCCCAAGTCTTGCTTTATACATGATGCCATATCTGACTACTTAAATTCTCAGTATACTCACTTTAGATTAAACCTCTTCAGCACTTATACATATATATACTTTGTATATGATGAGCAATTTAACATATACATTGCTGTAGAGCTTTAGTGTATTAGTTTTAATGATTCCTTATAAGCATCTTAAAGATGACATTTCTTATTCTTACAAATGGATGACAGCAAGTACATAATAGCCACACAATGAAAATCTGGCTATTGACAAAGAGATTTACCATAATACAGTAATCAAATTTTTCCATCTAGTTTGTCCCATACCACGAACAGAAATACCCATGTTTCTCAACTCCTTTGCTAGGTTATCTGATGCACTGAATTCAACACAAAGAAAAATCTCTTTTCTGTACTTGGACATGCTCCTCCACCTTCTTCAGCACATTCCAGATGGTTGCAAAATTCTGGTTTTTAACATGCATCATTCACATGTAACAATACATATTAGATTTTCAGAACCAGGAAGCATTCATTTTAAACAAAGTCATTAGTTTATAAGGCAAAGAAGCAAATTCATAAATAAATGCATGTTAAAACAAACAATTGTGGGTGCAGAGAGGACTCACTGTTTACTGAGTGGTATTTTAATACCCATCTACAGATGTAGATAACATCATTATCAACAGTGCCATTTTTAAAAACTGAAGAATTGTATAAAAATAGGTATTATAGAAATAATAACGTAAGAAAAATGTGAAGTAATATTTCTGGGTGACTTCCAGATTTACTTTTTTCTTGACACTTTTCAGGTTATGTGAAATGTTTGGACAGTATTCCCCAATTTCCTCCTTGCATGTTCAGTCAGGTGGCCTTCTGTTATGCTCCCACAATATCACTATCACAACACTTATCCTCCCTCAGTATAGTGTCTAGTTCTCTTTCCCAGACTGTAGCTACTCAAGGGCAGGATCACCCTCTTGTCTATCCCAAGTAAATGTCTGGTTTGTATTTCAATCACCTAGTAAATGATTTCTAAATAAATGAAGGAGTGGGTGAGTAAAAGAATGACAGCAACAAAGACAAGCAGAATGAGATTAAATACCTTTTTGGATAAAGTAACTTTTTGCTACAGGATATTAAAGTACTGCTATAAATGTGGTTAACAGATAGCTTAAATTATAAAGTTGCCATCTATAAAAATTCTGCTGTTGTTAAGTTTAGCAAACTTTATAGGAAAAAAGAAAGAACCAGAGAAGCTTGAGCCAAATTTGATGTACTCACAGGCACCGAAAGAAAGTAGGACCTGTTATAGAGTTGGATGAGGGCCTGAGTAAACTAATTGGAAATAAAATATATAAATACAATTGTTTTAGAATACTGCAAAGAGAAAACAAAATAAGAATCCAATGTTTCATACAGCATTTCTTGAACAAAATTTCCCTCAATTTTTCTTTTGCCCAATAATCCAATAAAATAAATGAAAAAAACAAAATAAGAATCCAATGTTTCATACAGCATTTCTTGAACAAAATTTCCCTCAATTTTTCTTTTGCCCAATAATCCAATAAAATAAATGAAAAATCATAAGAAACCTAATAAATTACACTAGCTATTTAAATGCCTTGTATTTAGATGTCTCTAAGGTACTATTAATTATTAATAGTGCCACAACCCTTATTATAATGTCCTTTTCCACATAAAAATGTAGACAAAGGGTTTATGTAAGATTAAATCAACTGGAATTTACAACTGTGCTGTAGTTATTTTTCTCATGTATATAAGTACACAGAGCCAACAAAACATTTAAAAACACTGAATCAAGGCCTGGTTCTCATCTCAAAATATTGAAAAATAAAAAAGGTCAGACAGTAAACATATAACAAGTCTGGACTTATTTTTATAAATAAGAATGTCTAAATAGTATATACAATAAGTGAACAGAGTTATTTATGTGATTTCTAGAATCACAGAGTTTTAATTGAAAGGAACTAGACTGTCTACCTAAGGAGGCAGCTGAGACCCAAAATACACCTATGGGCAAATATACACATATTTAAAAATCTTCAAATAAACATGTAAAGGAATATCCTGTGATCCCAGTTAAGCACATTAAAATTTGTTGTGGGAATTTAAGTTTATGGTAATATATAAAACAAAGTTAAAGGAATATCCCAATTTTAAAAGTAAAATAAAATTACCTGTTGAACGAAGACATTGTTGAGGTGATTGGCCAGTCTTCGGGCAAAATGCTCTCGCAAATCACTGAAACGCTGCAGCTGCTGTCTGACTGCCAAGAGCATGTCATGGCCTGAAATCAGAACATTTCTTAACTGATTGAATGGATAAAAAAATTTCCCTAATGTTTAACGAATACATTTATAACAATATCCCTATTTCAGTTCTGAAAATTGCTAAGTTTTATTGGTTTGTCTGCTTTGTAAAACAATGGTAAACAAAAGAAAAAATAGTATAGTACAGTGGTTCTCAAAATGTGGTCCTGTCTCAGTATCAACTGCGAACGGTTAGAAATGTGGATTCTAAGGCCTTGGCCCAGACCTACTAAATCTGGTGGGGTTGTGGGGGTGGTTGGCAATATGTATTTAACAAGCATTCTAGATGATCTTAATGCAAAGTCAAGTTTTGGAACCACTGGCCCAGCAGAACCTTAGGCTCTGCTAGTCTAACCAGAACATATACTTTGTTGCTAGGTTCTGTGCACAATACTAAAGAAAAATCATGGTGTTAGGGTCATTGATGGTCAATCAGGAGGAACTGAAATGGAAAAGTTCTCAGTGCCAACAGAAACATGTTTGGGAATAAGAAAAACTTGTTTGAGAAGCTAATGATATATTAATCCTAAACCACTTGACTCATGTATTTCTTGGTAGAAGCTTTATACCAAGTTACAGGTTTAGTCTGATTCCTGGTCAGGTTTTATCATTTCTAATGAACATACCTGGTCGAAGAGCTACATTCATGCACTGTAGGAGTGCATCAGCTGCATTGGTGCAGGCCTCAATGCCTCTGGAGGAAGCAAGATCTCCTTCCTGAAGGGCTTTTATATGACCTTTGGCCAAGTCCATGTGGTTCTGGAACATATATACCATTTGCACATGTAATTTTGGGAAATTTACAGGTAAAATGCTACTCAATCCTATCACTAGGTCTCGATTATTTTAAATCTTGCTCTCATAAGGAAATTAGAAAATGTTTACAGATGGGTTTTACATATTATCATTAGGTTTTCTGTTTTTGTTGTTGATGGTAGTAATTTATAATCATACTTACCACAAGGAACTCTATCTCAGACAGGAGTTTTACATTGTTAGTGTTACTAAGATGAATTAGGTGGTTGCTTTCAGAGATTTGATCCATTTGTTCTTTGACACTTTGGAGCATTTCCTCATAACTGCTCAGTTTCAATTCAATCTGATCTACTTCCTTGAGAGCCTCATCCAGCAACTTCATCAGGATGTTCACTTGTTTTTCAGAGGCCATAATCGATTGGATATTGGCCTAAAAAGTTAAAAAACAAAAGTAACTCTTCATATTATTTAAATGTGTAAAGGAAGTACAAAGATGAAATGTTGCTAAATATATTGATAGCAGACTAACAAAGATTGATATACATCTACACATGTACTTTATCACTTTTTGTTTATGTTCTAGATGATCTTAATGCAAACTCAAGTTTTGGAACCACTGGCCCAGCAGAACCTTAGGCTCTGCTAGTCTAACCAGAACATATACTTTGTTGCTAGGTTCTGTGCACAATACTAAAGAAAAATCATGGTGTTAGGGTCATTGATGGTCAATCAGGAGGAACTGAAATGGAAAAGTTCTCAGTGCCAATAGGAACATGTTTGGAAATAGTTCTACTTTTTACAGTATTTTAAGATGGTACACCTGTCTTTGGGTTAGGGACCATGCCTCAGTATTTGACCTCTGCAGACTACACAAGTAATGTTCTGCTCTACCATGTATCATCAGTAATGGTATATTCTCAGTTCTGCAAACTGACAGACATTAGACTCTGTCATCTCTACCACTTCTTCCAGTTCTACCAGCTACAGGAATTTTCTATACTTTCTAACATTTTTGTGAAATGTTAAATAAAACATAATCATCTATGTACTTCCTTAGTCAAGAGGGTAGCAGTCTGCCAGTCTTTGAAGGACACATGGAACTTATAACTGTAGTACAATTTGTACTAACAGGGTGTGAAAAAGCACATGACCACAAACTAGCTCCTATCATCTTTCTTTCCTCTTTCATCTGTACCTATAGTAGTCCTCCCTTAGCTGCTGTTTTGCTTTCTGTGGTTTCAGTTACCAGCAGTCAACCATGGTCTGGAAGCCAATGATCCTCCTTCTGTTGCATTATCTGGTCAATAAGAGCCTAAGACTACATTACAGTGGCCATGTCATTCCACTTCTTCTCATCATGTAGGCCTTTTACCATCTCACATCATCACCAGAAGAAGGGTTTGTGTACAATATGGTAGAGAGACACTGTATTCACATTTTTATTACAATATATTGTTGAAATTGATGACTAGTTATTGTTGATCTCTTACTGTACCTAATTTATAAATTAAAGTTTATCATAGGTATATGTATAGGAAAGAACATAGTATATAAGGGTTCAGTACTATCCATGCTTTTAGGCATCCACTGGGGATCTTGGAATGTACTACCCATGAATAAGGGGGCACTTTTACATTTTTTTCCAGGTAAAACAGTAACGGACCATCATCCCCTTATCTGCATTTTCTAAGTGACTCTGACAATTGATTGTAAAGTCCCTGAAATATGGAAGCTGCTAAATCCAAAATTAAACTGCAAAGCCAGGATGATGACTTGGAACATATATGCAATATTAATTAGAAAAGAAAATATAAACTACTAAGCCACATTAAGGAAGCAGATAACATAGCATGGGGAAAAAACTTGGACAAGGAATGAAAAGAAGATCACTCTACAGCTGATGCTGTCATTTTGTACACATTACTTTATATACTATTGATAATAACTCAACTGTAAGCATGGCCCAACTATAGGAGTCAGCAGGGCTCAGGCCCACCGAATCCATCTTTTAAGTAGCCGAACTGGGGTGTGGACCTGTCCAAGATAATTTCCACTTTTACATCTTGAAATCTCTTCTAGGCTTGGCTTCCAGTGAGTTTTGTAAAATTGTAAGCTTGAAATATTCCTGTAATTTCTGGGCCTGAGTTCAGCCTCACAACTTCTGTACCTTTCATTTGTAGGTCAAAATTCTTTAAATCTTTACAATATTCCTTATTCTCTCAGGGTTTTTCCTAAATGCTTACCTTGTCTAAAAAACAAAAACCCCAAATGTTCTTGTTTAGATTTTTCTCACATAAGTGGTATTTCTTCTAGTTCTTTAGCTCTTTTCTGAAGATATGCACTTAGATTCAGACTCAGAAACTATGCAAATTAAAGAGATCCATTCCAACACATTACAGCTGATATGTCAAAAAGCCTTCTTCTCCAGCTATTCCGTTTTCACCACACTTACTATACTATCTTTGGGTAAATGGTTCACTTATTTAAACCTAATTTCTCTACTTCTGATTTATACTTCTTTTTTCTCAAACCACAAAAATGCTATTCTTCTGCAGTAAATTACTCTGAGATGCTTCAGAGGCTGGGAGAAAGCAGCAACCAAGTTTGTTTCTGGCTGGTTACTTTTTACTGCCATCATTTTATATCAAGAATCTCCCAAAATCCAGAACCTAAGCTAATTGCCTTCATTGACCTAATAGGAATGGTTCTGTATTTTGAACAAGGGCAGTGAAAGAAGGCATCTGGTAATGCACTAATAGAGAAAGACAGCAAGAATCATATAGCAAGAATCATAATCAAAGGCTTAAGTGCTGGTATTCTCAAGATGGCAGTATGAGTAGAGCGGTGGAAATCTCCCAAAACCATATATATATTGAAAATATAGTAAGTACAACTATTCCTAAAAGAGTGACCAGAAGATACAGTACATGAGCCAGGCTACATCTGCAGGAACCCAACATCTCATGGAAAAGGGTAAAATACAAAGCTGTGACCCAGCAGAACCCAAGTACTTCCCCTACCCCAGCTCACCAGTGGGAGGAAAAGAATCAGAGTGGCAGGGGGAGTGGAAGCACAGGACTGCTAAATAACCAGCTCTAGTAATTTGCCCCAGGAGCACAGACACACATTGCATGGTGCACTGGATATTAGAGGGGCAGAAAACCAAATCCAAGACTAAGACTGTGAACAGACTCCCACAGCTGGCAGCTCTGGAATAAAAGAAAAGCAGGCACTTTAAAAGTCTTAAAGGGACAAGAGTTTAAATCATCCTGGCACACTCAGCCCAGCAGGCTGGGAACTTTAAGGAACTTCAGGCGCCTTAAACCCCTGGGTGGCAGCACAGCTACGAACCTCCTCACGGCAATAAGCAGCCTACTGTTCCTTCCCCACTGCAGGCACTGCAAGCAAACCAGCTGACCCGCCATTGCTGCAGAACAGCTGGGGAGCAGCCCCACCTACAGCAACCACACAGCTTAACACAGAGGCTTCTCCTTGCATGCAGTTAACCCGCCCAGACCCAGAGGCTGTTCCCTGTGTGCAGTTGACCGGCACAGACAGAGGACACCAGCACAGAGTCTGGGAGGCACGAAGGGGCTTTCTTCTAACAGCAGAACATACGCTGATTGCCACTGACCCCCGCCAGTGTCCTAGGCCATCCTGAGGGCTGCCCCGCCCCACCCACGGCAGCTCAGGGGATTAACCCAGAGGTGGTTGACTGGCACAGACAGTGGAGATGGGTGCAGAGACCGGGAGGCACAAAGGGGCTTTGCTCTTGTGGCAGAACATGCGCAGCTGGCCTGTGATCCTCGTCATTGCCCTAGGCCATCTTGAAAGCTGCCCCGCCCATGGCAGCTCAGGGGATTAACCCAGAGGCTGCGCCCTGTGTGCGGTTAACTGGCACAGACAGAGGAGACAGGCAAGGCGACCGGCAAGCAGAAAGGGACTTTGTTCTCCCAGCCGACACACGCACCACTTGCCAGTGACCACTCCCATCACCATGAAAAGGCAGAAGAACCTTGTTCAGTTCAAATTCCCTCAAACACCAGTGGCGGAGCTTGGTGAGACTGAAATCACCAATCTTCCTGAAAAAGAATTCAAAATAAAAGTCATAAGCATGCGGATGGAGCTACAGAGAAATATTCAAGAGCTAAGGGATGAATTCAGGAGGGAGATAACAGAAATGAAAAAAACAATGGAAGGATTTAAGAGAAGACTGGATGAGGTAGAAGAGACTGTTAGTGGAATAGAAATCAGAGAACAGGAATACAGAGAAGCTGAGGAGAGAGAGAGATAAAAGGATCTCTAGGAATGAAAGACTATTAAGAGAACTGTGTGACCAATCTAAAAGGAAAAATATGCGCATTATAGGGGTACCAGAAGAAGAAGAGAGAGAAAAAGGGATAGAAAGTGTACTCGAAGAAATAATTGATGACAATTTCCCCAATCTGGGGAAGGAAATAGTCTCTCAGACCATGGAAGTCCACAGATCTCCCAACACAAGGGACCCAAGGAGGACAACACCAAGACATATAATAATTAAAATGGCAAAGATCAAAGACAAGGACAAAGTATTAAAAGCAGCCAGAGAGAGAAAAAGGATCATCTACAAAGGAAAACCCATCAGGTTATCATCAGACTTCTAAGCAGAAACTTTATAGGCCAGAAGGGAATGGCATGATATATTCAATACAGTGAAACAGAAGGGCCTTGAACCAAGAACACTGTAACCAGCAAGATTATCATTTAAGTTTGAAGGAGGGATTAAACAATTCCCAGATAATCAAAAGTTGAGGGAATTTACTTCCCACAAACCATCTCTACAGTGTATTTTAAAGGGACTGTTCTAGATGGAAGTATGCTTAAAGCTAAATAGCTGACACCAGAGAAAATAAACCTACAGCAAAGAAAGCAGAGCAACCAAATACTAACTAAATGCAAAATAAAATCAGCTATCCACAAAATCAGTCAAGGGAAACACAAAGAGTACAGAATAAAATACTGAACATATAAAGAGTGGACGAGGAAGAAAAAGAAGGGAGAGAAATAAAGAATCATCAGGCTGCGTTTATAATAGTGTAATAAGTGAGTTAAGTTAGATGGTTAGACAGTAAAGCAGCTGCCCTTGAACCTTTGGTAACCATGAATTCAAAGCCTGCAATGGCAATAAGTACATATCTACGATAATCACCCTAAATGTAAATGGACTGAATGCACCAATCAAAAGACACAGAGTAATAGAATGGATAAAAAAGCAAGACCCATCTATATGCTGCTTACAAGAAACTCACCTCAAACCCAAAGACATACACAGACTAAAAGTGAAGGGATGGAAAAAGATATTTCATGCAAACAATAGGGAGAAAAAAGCAGGTATTACAGTACTTGTATCAGACAAAATAGACTTCAAAACAAAGAAAGTAACAAGAGATAAAAAAAAGCAGTTTGAAGAGAAAAGTATATAGCAATTCAGCCTATTTAAAGAAGGAAGAACAATCCCAAATGAATAGTCTAAATTCACAATTATTGAAACTGGAAAAAGAAGAACAAATGAGGCCCAAAGTCAGTAGAAGGAGGGACATAATAAAGATTAGAGAAGAAATACATAAAATTGAGAAGAATAAAACAGAGAAAACTTAATGAAACCAAGAGATGGTTCTTTGAGAAAATAAACAAAATAAACCCTTAGCCAGACTTATTAAGAAAAAAAGAGAATCTACACACATAAACAGAATCAGAAATGAGAAAGGAAAAATCACCATGGACACCATAGAAATACAAAGAATTATTAGGGAATACTAAGAAAATCTATATGTTAACAAACTAGATAACATAGAAGAAATGGACAACTTTCTAGAAAAATACAACCTTCCAAGACAAACCAAGGAAGAAACAGAAAATCTAAACAGACCAATTACCAGCAAGGAAATTGAATTGGTAATCAAAAAACTACCCAAGAACAAAACCCCTGGGCCAGATGGATTCAATGCTGAATTTTATCAGACATTTAGAAAAGACGTAATACCCATTCTCCTTGAAGTTTTCCAAAAAATAGAAGAGGAGGGAACACTTCCAAATTCATTCAATGCAGCCAGCATCAGTCTAATAACAAAAACAGGCAAAAACACCACAAAAAAAGAAAATTACAGACAAATATTCCTGATGAATACAGATGCAAAAATACTCAACAAAATATTAGCAAACCGAATTCAAAAATACATCAAAAGGATCATCCATCATCATCAAGTGGGATTCATCTCAGGGATGCAAGGATGGTACAACACTCGAAAATGCACCATCATCATCCACCACATCAACAAAAAGAAGGACAAAAACCACATGATCATCTCCATAGATGCTGAAAAAGCATTCGACAAAATTCAACATCCATTTATGATAAAAACTCTAAACAAAATGGGTATAGAGGGCAAGAACCTCAACATAATAAAGGCCATATATGACAAACCCACAGCCAACATCATACTTAACAGTGAAAAGCTGAAAGCTTTTCCCCTAATATCGGGAACAAGACAAAGATGCCCACTGTCCTTGCTTTTATTCAACATAGTACTGGAGGTCCTAGCCATGGCAATCAGACAACACAAAGAAATAAAAGATATTCAAATTGGTAAGGAAGAAGTCAAACTGTCCCTGTTTGCAGATGACATGATATTGTACATAACAAACCCTAAAGAATCCATTCCAAAACTACTAGAACTAATACCTGAATTCAGCAAAGCTGCAGGATACAAAATTAATACACAGAAATCTGTTACTTTCCTATTGACTAACAATGAACTAGCAGAAAGAGAAATCAGGACAACAGTTGCATTCACAATTGCATCAAAAAGAATAAAATACCGAGGAATAAACCTAACCAAGGAAGTGAAAGACCTATACCCTGAAAACTACAAGACACTCTTAAGAGAAATTAAAGAGGATATTAATAAATGGAAATTCATTCCATGCTCTTGGGTAGGAGTAATTAATATTGTCAGAATGGCCATCCTACGTAAAGCAATCTACCGATTCAGTGCAATCCCTATCAAAATACTGACAGAATTCTTCAACAAACTGGAACAAATAGTTCTAAAATTCATATGGGAGGAACCACAAAAGACGCGGAATAGCCAAAGCAATCGTGAGAAGGAAGAATAAAGCAGGGGGACATCGCTTCCCAACAGACCAGTGGAACAGAACAGAGTCCAGATATTAACCCAAACATATATGGTCAATTAATATACGATAAAGTAGCCATGGATATACAATGGGAAATGACAGCCTCTTCAACAGCTGGTGTTGGCAAAACTCGACAGCTACATGTAAGAGAATGAAACTGGACCTGTCTAACTCCATACACAAAAGTAGACTCACAATGGATCAAAGACTTGAATGTAAGTCATGAAACCATAAAACTCTTAGAAGAAACCATAGGCAAAACTCTCTTGAATATAAACATGAGCAACTTCTTCATGAACATATCTCCCTGGGCAAGGGAAACAAAAGCAAAAATGAACAAGTGGGACTATCTCAAACTAAAAAGCTTCTGTACAGCAAAGGACACCATCAGTAGAACAAAAAGGTATCCTACAGTATGGGAGAATATATTCATAAATGACATATCCAGTAAGGGGTTGGCATCCAAAATATATACAGAGCTCACATGTCTCACCAACAAAAAGCAAATAATCCAATTAAAAAATGGGTGCAGGATCTGAACAGACACTTCTCCAAAGAAGAAATTCAGATGGCCAACAGGCACATGAAAAGATGCTCCACATCGCTAATCATCAGAAAAATGCAAATTAAAACCACAGTGAGACATCACCTTACAGCAGTTAGGATGGCCACCATCCAAAAGATAAACAACAACAAATGTGGCGAGGATGTGGAGAAAGGGGAACCCTCCTACACTGCTGGTGGGAATGTAAACTAGTTTAACCATTGTGGAAAGCAGTATGGAGGTTCCTCAAAAACCTCAAAATAGAAATACCATTTGACCCAGGAATTTCACCTCTAGGAATTTACCCTAAGAATGCAGGAGCCCATTTTGAAAAAGACATATGCATCCCTATGTTTATCACAGCACTATTTACAATAGCCAAGAAATGGAAGCAACCTAAGTGTCCATCAGTAGATGAATGGATAAAGAAGATGTGGTACATATACACAATAGAATATTATTCAGCTGTAAGAAGAAAACAAATCCTACCATTTGCAACAACATGGATAGAGCTAGAGGGTATTATGCTAAGTGAAATAAGCCGGGCGGAAAAAGACAAGTATCAAATGATTTCACTCATCTGTGGAGTATAAGAACAAAGCAAACACTAAAGGAACAAAACAGCAGCAGACTCACAAGACCCAAGAATGGACTAATAGTTATGAAAGGGAAAGGAACTGGGGAGGATAGGTTGGAAGGGAGGGAAAAGGGGGGAAAGGGTCATTACAATTAGCAGACATAATGTAGGGGTGAGTGCACGAGGAAGGCAATATAGCACAGAGAAGACAAGTAGTGATTCTATAGCATCTTACTACGCTGATGGACAGGGACTGTAATGGGGTATGTGGTGGGGACTTGATATTGGGTGGGAATCTAGTAACCACAATTTTGCTCATGCAATTATATATTAATGATACCAAAAATGAAAACCTGCAGAGATAACTGACAGTGTATATTTCAGTGGTAAAAAAAAAAAGGCTTAAGTACTGAGGCAGTCAGTTTGAACATTATCAGTCTTTTCAATGCACTGCACATCACTCCTTAACAGACTACATGAAAGTCTTACCCCATCTAACACCTGCAGCTCTCTGGACAACCTTTCTGCAAAGGCTTCAGCATTAGAGATTGCATATTCACAGCCTTCCATCATTATTTCAATATCTTGCTCTTCTCTTGCATTTAACTCTTGGTATTCATCCACTACTTCTTCATCACCTCCTGTCACACTCTGGTTTTCTCCACTAGGTACAGATTCTTGAAGAAGGTAAAAATTAAAAATAAAGCAGTAAAAATGTAGGAAGGGCAATAACAGTACTTATAGGTAAGGTCAGTTAAGCACAGGTCACATTTAGTGGCTGAAAAATAGGAAAGAATGGTTCAAAATACATATTAATAAACCCCTTATTTTTTATAAAGTACTGCATACGTTAATATAACAGTTTTTATAACAAATAAAAAGCATGCAGTCTAATTCACTAATAAGGGTTAAAGCAGGCTTTCTCACAACTGCCCAAAATATAACTAAAAAACAAGTACAAAACCAGAAACAAAACATATAGAAACAAGCCTAACCTTTAGAAACAAGCCTAACCTTTTTTTCCTACCTGCAGTGGTGGTTGTGCTAACAAAACAATGATTATGAATTCAGGATGCATGAAAGCAATTTGTTTTCCTTTTTTTTCCCAAGGTAACATTTTTCTTCTGTTCTTTTTGTCATGTTTTGTTTTTTCAAGTAATTTTTAACTGATATGAAAAAATGCAACTACAATTCACATTTTGAACACTGAAAATATTAACTAAATTTTCCATTTCTTTGTTTAAAAAATTTTCACATTCATTAATGAAGTTTCCAAAGATCAGCTACAGAAGCTTTCTTGGTAATTCTATGGTAAGAAGAGCAACAGCAACATGGTTGTTTGAAATTATAAAAACTTGAATGGTATTCATGTTTCCTAACAAAAGAGGAAGAAGTCAAATCTGAGGTGCTTTCTGGATAAACGTTTCAGTTCACCTTTTTGACAGAATACACTCACCATGTGGGATTTTATATAAAGCTTGAGGTTAGGAGAGTAAAATGAAAAATACAATTTTTACCCTCTAAATAAACCTCTAAATAAAGGTACTGATTTTCATAAACTTAATGGGACACAATTTTAAGTCCCAAACTCTGGATGCTTTAGATATTATTTTGCATGAAAATGAATAATTACATTCAACATGACTAATTTGTCCTAGAACAAAAACCAGCTAAGTTCAAAGTAACAAATGGTTTACTTTTAAGAATGATGATTAGGCAGATTTAGACAAAGTCCCAGAAAGGGGGTGTCTGGAGGGAGACTAAAACTTTGGTACAGGCAATTACAGATTACAGGGTATAAACACAGTTCTTCAGAGGCATCTAGTTCCTCGTCCTCTTAATGGGTTCATTTTAGCTTACTGTGGAAATGTTAAATTGACATGTGGGACAGCCTTTTAGCCACTAGTGGGCAGGGACTGCCCACATCATTCTGTATAGCTCATTACACAAGAGAATATTTAAAATAAACAAATATTAAATGATCATAACTGCTTCAGAAGTATGGACAGTCCTTTGGAAGTCAAGAATGAATACTATCATCAATTTTATTACTCTATGGATTTTGTAGTAATAAACCTGTCCCTATACACAATTTCATAAAATATGCAACCGACAGTACATAACAATGGCAAGTAATAAAAATATACGTAACAGAATAAGAAGAAAAGGTGTTACGCACCTTCTGTAACTTTAGGCAGTTCTGGAGAGTAAAAAGGTATGAGAAAAGCAGAGGAAAGCAAGCAAAGAATATTAGCTAGGTAGAAAAGTACATAGGTTTAAAAATTTTAAATACTACCCATATTTTCTTTTAACTTCATGCTATATTAAGGTTTGAAAGACAATGTCAAAATCAACTACTAAGTAGAAAGATCCATATAAACTAAATTTCCAGAGTTTTCCTTATTCTTTTTCTGATAATGACTAAGAATACATTTATCTTTCTATTTGCTCTTAGTCTTTTCAGAAACCGTACTGACTAGTCCTTGGAGGAGAAAACTGGGAAACAGGTAACTTCCTGGGATTATTTTTAGGTCAGTTGTGACTCACGCATTTAGTCTAGTTATTTTCACTGAATGCCCCAAAACTTCACCCAGACACTCCCTCACAATGGATTAGTCATAAAACACTGTTAGAAAGGACAAAATTGAAGCAATTTTTAAAAACACATGAAATAACAACTCAAGCTGGCTTTTAAAGATGCAAGATTTTTTCAAATGTGGATACCAGAATGAAAAAGAAAAATCAAACAAAAATATCACTCTACTTCAACTGCTAACAAAGTCTTCCTTTAAAATCTTTAAAAATCTTGCTGAGAAGCCCGTTAGTACCCCAAACATTCAATTGTTAACAACAATAACTACTAAACTTGTCACTGCTAGCATTCATAATAAACAGTCTTACTTGCTTGACTTTTTTATCTCTTAAAAGTAGATGGTGATAATTTGTTTTCTAATGTCACTCAAAGCTTAGAGACTTTTTAAAAAAATGGGAATTAATGACTATTATTTTAAAGTCCATTAAAATGTTAACACAAGTTTGTAGACATTAGTAAAGCTATTCCCTGAACTCCACTAAACCAAAGCAAGTTTTTAATTTATGGAAAGTGATTTGCAAAATGGGATCCTTAAAGATCTTCTCAGCATTTTAAAAACTGATCTCAACTAGGGTTAATGTTATAAACATGAAAATGTCTACACTTTTGTTTCAGGCCCTAAAAAGTTATTTTTTTTAGAGCTAAACCCTTCATTCTAAAAAAGAGCAATACTCTTCTCACTGATTTTGACAAAATTTCTTAATGAGGTAGATCCAGGTAAGGTATGTGTTTTCCTATATTATTGACTTAATGAAACATTGGTTTAAAATACATCTTAGATAACAAATAATATCTGGAAATATATAATATATGAAAACAGAATAGCAATCATTCAGTCATCAGAAAGTTCAACCCTGAAATGGTGTAAAAATAAATGCCACTCGAAACAAACTAAACCACCACTCAAGGCATGAAAAATTATCAATTTCTTGAAGGTCATTATCTCAACACAGTCAACTGCCAAGACACTAAGCTCTAATGTTGGTGAGATGACAACCCTGAGGGCTCCTACACAAGGCCAGGCCCACTGGTGGAAGGAGCACAAGGCCTGACAGATACAACTTGCCCCTGCCCATTCCAAGCATCAAACCCAACACCAGTGATGGGCTCACTAATGAGTAAGTGATGGGAAAGAATACTACATTTAAAGAAAGAAAGAAAGACCCATGGTCAAACAGAAAAGGATTAAGTAAAACAAAGTATAGAAAGAACAGAGGCAAGTGACTAAGTGAACAGTTTGAAGAATCTGAGACTGCCAAATTTTTTAATAGGTCAAAATGGTTGAATATTGACAATTTTAGATGTTTCAACCTAATAGAATAGAAGTTTTTATTTTTAATGCTGGTATATAACTTAGGACAAATCTAAGTTTTCTTTCTGATATATGATTTAGGACAAATTTATACTTTTTTCTCAATAAAGAAAAGCAACTCTATTCAACTGTATACTAGCTGTTATTTCAACTACCTTCTTTGAGATGAAGAATGTAACACAAATTATATCCATAGGCATGCAGAACCATTTTCTTACAATGTTTATATCTTTATGAAAGAAGTCTTAAAAGACTAAAATCTCATGGTACATTTTTAATAATTAACAGTACTGTTTTTGTCTTGTGACACAAAATAATCCATAGTAACATTCCTGAAGATATACTGATCAAAAACATCCTATTTAACTTCATGTCTAAGGATTTTATCCTAATATAATAATAGCTAATATTCATTGAGTACTTACTACGTACTTGCCATTGTTCATGTTTACATATTTAAATAATTTAATCCTCACAATGACCCTACTGGGTGGCTACTATTACTGCCTCCATTTCTGAGATAAGGGAAACTGAAACACAGAACAACTCAAGGTCACCTAAGCTAGTTAGTGACAAATTCAGGATTTGAATCCATCCTTTCTGACTCCTTAGAGGTGTTCTTACCCACTATACTTACACCCTGAACAAAAGTATGGCAACACAGATATTCACCTCAGAGTTGTTTAAAATGAGCAAAGATTGGAAAATTAAAGATACATGATTAGTTAAATAAACTGTGGTCTATCCACATAACAGAATACTATAGTATCATTAATAATAATGTTGGGTAATAACATGAATGCTCATGATATAAGAAAAAGTATGTTAGAAAATATAATGTAAATTTATTTAAAAAAGCATTTATACACAGAAAAAAGACTAGAAGACTAGAAGAATATCTAACAAATGTTAATAGCAGTTATCTCTGAGGCTTAAGTTTATAAGTGATTTTTACTTATTTAATGTATCAATTTTCTATAGTGAGCAAATATCACTTCTTCAGTAAGAAAAATTATTTTTAAATTCCTTTACAAGTATAAGGTAATTCAGTGTCTAATTACTTTGAGTAATGTCAATTATATAATCACCTATACATATACTTGATTTTATATATATGTTTTTATTTAATTTTACCTTCCAAAAGCTGTGAGCTAACATTGACAAAATCAATTTTCTTCCGGAGATATCGCTGATTCAATTTCCAAATGCATGAAATGAATGCATTCTTTTCAGCAGTGCTGCTGGCCACCCATTTATATATTTTCTCAAAATGTAAGTCAAATTCAGGACTTTCCTGAAATAAAAATATACAAAAGATATTGTTTTTGATCAACAAAGTCCCTTTTCATTACTGTAAAATCTGTATTTCAATAAAACTGAATCTGAAAAGTTGAACTGTTCTTGGAAAAAAAAAATCAGCATTAAAAATCAGCTAAGCGATCTACAGAGAATTCAATTTAGAGCAAAAACTTTTTTTTACCTCCTAAAAGAAACTAGATGAAACAAAAACAGTGTTTTGGTAATTTCCTTCCTATTCTCCTTAAGTCTAATGGAAGTACAGACTTAGGTAATATACTACAAAATGACTTTATGTATGTAAAATGTTTATGACTCAGCAGAAGAAGTGTAAGATGACAATGATCTACAGTCTTGGTGTGGACTTTTTCTTTTTAAGTTGCCTAGGGGTTTTGTGATCAATCATACTAGCTCACTATGTCTTACAAATGAAAACAAGTGAACACCTGAGAAACTGGAGAAGACAAGAGTGGTGGGTTGCTATGTTTAAGATGTTCTAGACACCCACAACTTTGTCTTTCCCTAGGTACCATGACCCGTTTATTTGCTTAATGATCCAGCACTTTGTCTGGAGCCCAAGAATGATTTGAAGGAAACTGAGCCATATTTCTGGTCAGCTCCATCCTCAAGTTACAGGTTTGAAGAACAAAGCATATCTAATTAGAATCCAACTATGCATGGGTATCAAAAGATATTTTCAAGTCATTTCTTAGAATCTTAGCTGTTTGGTTATGATACAATCATTTCAGCTTTTCTAAATATAGTGTTTTTTTCTCTCTTCAAAAAAAAAAAAATTGCCTAGGGGGTTTTAGAGTTATACCTACTCTTTGATAACACTATTATTCCTGTGTTTGACACTAACTCCTTAACAAAGATGCATACTCTAATTATAACATATGAGAAAAAACATAAGCTACATCTTTGTGTGGCTTCCAAGAACAAATGAGGCAAAAAGCAGGGACTGTATTGTTTTCAATTCTGAAAATACAGGATTAAAGGTGTTTCAAAAGTAAAAAATGCTGGTGAGCCTTAAACTTTTTTCAAATGACAAAGAAGCTCAAAGGATTTAAGAAAATTGACTAATGCTCTCTATGGCCACATTACAGTAATGATTTCACACCAGGCTAATAGTTCTCCCTTCAGTGTAGAACTACTTGACTTCCATATAAAAATAACAACATGAATGTATACTTTTCTCTATATCTGAGGAATTAAAAAATGGGCTCAAACATTTTTAATGTTCTACAGAAGGCTAATAATATATTCAATTAACTTAAGGTGTTATTTAATGGGGGGAAATGTAAATAAATACCTTAAAAGAGAGATTATATCAGATTTTTACTGTGAAGTTAGGATAATTTCAGGATCAGAACTTGACCTGTGGTCCAACAACTGTATTATAGTAGCATGGAACTACTAATTAGTTGAATTTATGGTTTAATAAGCAGAATTAAAGCACCAAAAGATTAAACACCCGCATTTACAATGAAAAGGTAATAATACTAATATTTATTTAAAAACTAAGAGTATTGGAAACTAATATGAAACCTGATGGGAAATGATCTTTTCCCTGGGAATATTTTCCATATGCCATAAAAGAAGCTGAGTGCTCCAGCGGCAACACACTCAAATCAATATGTGACACTAAATGGCTAATGTTGGGCTATGTATAAAAATTTTGTTTTATATCCATATATAGTGTACACATACCAAGGTGCCTACATAAAATGAAAAAAGAAATACCATTAAGAAAGTCAGCAGTGAGGTGTCAGCTATGAGAAAGCATTCAAATAAGCATTCAGCAATGTTAGTGAATTATGCAAGTCTAGGAACTGCAAAACTACTGAAGGGAAAAGGCTTTTTAATAAAGATACACTTCTAAAAAGCCCTTAAAATATTTTTTCTTAAACAGAAACTTACCAAAAAGTCTCTATTCTTGATTTTTCCCCATGGTAACAGAACTTACTTATTAAATAGTGTTTTAAAGTGTTTTGGGTGTTCCTTAGGGATAAAGCAAAGGGCCAGTTTGCCTTAAAGAGAAGGCATCCAGGTTGGAGGAAATCTGAATTCTACAGATATGCAGGGTTCTCCTAAAGTCGTTTTGGCTTCATTTTAAAAAAAATTTTGCTATCATTAATGTACAATTACATGTACAACATTACAGTTACTAGACTCCCCCTATTATCAAGTCCCCACCATATACCCCATTACAGTAACTGTCCATCAGCATAGTGGATGCTATAGAATCACTACTTGTCTTCTTTGTTATACTGCCCCCGAACATTATACGTGCTAATAGTGATGCCACCTATCCTCCCTAATCCTTTTCCCTTTGGTAACTGTTAATCCATTCTTGGGTTCTGTGAGTCTGCTGCTGTTCTGTTCCTTCAGTTTTTGCTTTGTTCTTATACTCCACAGATAAGTGAAATAATTTGATACTTGTCTTTTTCCACCCGGCTTATTTCACTGAGCATAATACCCTCTAGTTCCATCCATGTTGTTGCAAATGGTAGGATTTGTTTTCTTCTTATGGCTGAATATTATTCCATTGTGTATATGTACTACATCTTCTTTATCCATTCATCTACTGATGGACACTTAGGTTGCTTCCATTTCTTGGCTACTGTAAATAGTACTGTGATAAACATAGGGATGCATATGTCTTTTCGAGACTGGGAAACTGCATTCTTAGGGTAAATTCCTAGAGGTGAAATTCCTGGGTCAAATGGTATTTCTATTTTGAGTTTTTTGAGGAACCTCCACACTGCTTTCCACAATGGTTGAGCTAGTTTACATTCCCACCAGCAGTGCAGGAGGGTTCATTCCCCTTTCTCCACATCCTGGTCAGCATTTGTTGTTTGTCTTTTGGATGGTGGCCATCTGAACTGGTGTAAGGTGGTATCTCAATGTGGTTTTAATTTGCATTTCTCTGATGATTAGTGATGTGGAGCATCTTTTCATATGCCTGTTGGCCATCTGAATTTCTTCTTTGGAGAAATGTCTGTTCAGATCCTCTGCCCATTTTTTAATCGGCTTATTTCCTTTTTCGGTGTTGAGGTGCGTGAGCTCTTTATATGATTTGGATGCCAACCCCGTACTGGATATGTCATTTATGAATATATTCTGCCATACTGTAGGATGCCTTTTTGTTCAACTGATGGTGTCCTTTGCTGTACAGAAACTTTTTAGTTTGATATAGTCTCATTTGTTCATTTTGGCTTTTGTTTTCCTTGCCAGGGGAGAAATGTTCATGAAGTTGCTCATGTTTATGTCCAAGAGATTTTTGCCTATGGTTTTTTCTAAGAGTTTTATGGTTTCATGACTTACATTCAGGTCTTGGATCCACACTGAGTTTACTTTTGTGTATGGGGTTAGACAATAATACAGATTCATTCTCTTACATGTAGCTGTCGAGTTTTGCCAACACCAGCTGTTGAAGAGGCTGTCATTTCCCGATTGTATACCCATGGCTCCTTTACCATATATTAATTGACCGTATAATCTTGGATTTATATCCGGGCTCTGTAGTCTGTTCCATTGGTCTATGGGTCTATTCCTGTGCCAGTACCAAATTGTTTTGATTACTGTGGCTTTGTAGTAGAGCTTCAAGTCAGGAAGCTTAATTCCCCCTCCTTTATTCTTCCTTCTCAGGATTGCTTTGGCTATTTGGGGTTTTTTGTGGTTCCATATGAATTTTAGAACTATTTGCTCTAGTTCATTGAAGAATGCTGTCGGTATTGTGATAGGGATTGCATTGATGTGTAGTTTGCTTTAGGCAGGATGGCTATTCTGATAATATTAATTTTTCCTATCCATGAGCATGGGATGTGTTTCCATTTATTGGTATCTTCTTTAATTTCTCTCAAGAGTATTTTGGTTTTCAGACTATAGGTCTTTCACTTCTTTGGTTAGGTTTATTCCTAGGTATTTTATTCTTTTTGATGCAATTATGAATGGAACTGTTTTCCTGATTTCTCTTTCTGCTAGTTCATCGCTAGTGTATAGGAATGCAACAGATTTCTGTGTATTAATTTTGTATCCCGCAACTTTGCTGAATTCAGATATTAAATCTAGTAGTTTTGGAGTGGATTCTTTAGGGTTTTTATATACAATATCATGTCATCTGCAAAAGGGACAGTTTGACTTCTTCCTTACCATTCTGGATGACTTTTATTTCTTTGTGTTGTCTGATTGTCATGGCTAGGACCTCCAGAACTATGTTGAATAAAAGTGAGGACAATGGGCATCCTTATCTTGTTCCCCATCTTAGGTGAAAAGCTTTTAGCTTCTTGCTGTTAAGTATCATGTTGGCTGTGGGTTTGTCATATATGGCCTTTATTATGTTGAGGTACTTGCCCTCTATAACCATTTTGTTGAGAGTTTTTATCATGAATGGATGTTGAATTTTGTCAAATGCTTTTTCAGCATCTATGGAGATGATCATGTGGTTTCTGTCCTTCTTTTTGTTGATGTGGTGGATGATGTTGGTGGATTTTCAAATATTGTACCATCACTGCATCCCTGGGATGAATCCCACTTGATCATGATGAATAATACTCTTGATGTATTTTTGAAATCAGTTTGCTAATATTCTGTTGATTATTTATGCATCTATTATTCATCAGGGATATTGGTCTGTAATTTTCTTTTTTTGTGGTTTCTTTGCCTTGTTTTGGTATGAGAGTGATGTTGGCCTCGTAGAATGAGTTTGGGAGTATTCCCTCCTCTTCTAAGGAGGATGGGTATTAGTTCTTCACTAAATGTTTGATAAAATTCAGGAGTGAAACCATCTGGTCCAGGATTTTTGTTCTTAGGTTGTTTTTTGATTACCAATTCAATTTCCTTGCTGGTAACTGGTCTATTCAGATACTCTGTTTCTTCCTGGGTCAGCCTTGGAAGGTTGTATTTTTCTAGAAAGTTGTCCATTTCTTCTAAGTCATCCAGTTTGTTAGCAGATAATTTTTCATAGTATTCTCTAATAATTGTTTGTGTTTCTGTTGTGTCCATAGTGATGTTTCCTTTCTCATTTCTGTTTCTGTTTCTGTGTATAGACTCTCTTTTTTTTCTTAATAAGTCTGGCTAGGGGTTTATCTATTTTGTTTATTTTCTCAAAGAACCAGCTCTTGGTTTCATTGATTCTATTGTTTTATTCTTCTCAATTTTATTTATTTCTGCTCTAATCTTTATTATGTCTGTCCTTCTACTGACTTTGGGCCTCATTTGTTCTTCCTTTTCTACTTTCATTAATTGTGAGTTTAGACTGTTCATTTGGGATTGTTCTTCTTTCCTGAGGTAGGCCTGTATTGCAATATACTTTCCTCTTAGCATGGTCTTCACTGCATCCCACAGATTTTGCAGTGCTGAATTACTGTTGTCATTTGTCTCCATATATTGCTTGATCTCTGTTTTTATTTGGTCATTGTTCTTGCTTCATTTAAAAAATATTTTCCACCCGACTCGACTGTCTTTCATTTAGTCTTCAGAAATTTGTACCAGGGTAAGGATAAAACTAGAATTTTATTGAATCGGATTGCTCTGCAAAGCTAGTTTTTACTTCTTTGTGCCTTTTTAGTAAATGTAAGAGACTTACGGGGTTAAATCAAAGGGCGCCTGTAATTACATTAATGTAAGCTTTGCTATGAACTCCATCAACAGTACAAGTGAATGTGATGCAAAGCACTCCCAGAGCTCTGGAGGTGTCTTTGGGCTGCAGAGGAAAATAAGAGCTGAGGCCAGAGAAGATATGAAGGAATACCTAGTTTAACCAGAGGAGCTCCATCTGATTTCTTTGAAAAGAGCATTGCTGTGAAAGCCTTGAACTATCAGGAATAAAGGTGGCCTTTAACATGATTATTACATATTCAGCTTCTTGGAGTTTGAATGTGGCTTAAATGAAAGGTATAGGTTTTACATTCTTATATCTTATTCTTTAAATTCCTTAAAATAAGGTGTGCAATGCACAATCACTTCCTCTACTTGAGCCATAAATATCAAACAATGGTCTCAAAAGTCCAGCTTGGCTGTCTGAGCTGGTGATTATATATTAATTCAAGAGGACTATGGAAAATTCACCTTGGTTATATTATATATGATTTTGAACTAGGTTTACCAAAACAGTGTAGATTATTAAGAAACCACTCACACAATACCACTTGAAAATCTGTACCTGCATATGGCTTTTATACTAAGTATATTTAACCCCAAACACAGAGATAAATATAATCAGTTACTTTGCTGTCATGTATATAGCCTGTACATGAATGTAACTGTAGCTCAAAAAAAGCAAGAACAATAAAACAAACATATATTTACTTATTTTTAGTAGCCTGAGATTGGGTGGGAGGATGGAAGGTTCACTAATATACTAGATTAATTCTTGGTTAGTTGGTAGACCAGTGGGTCACAGAACAAGTTTAGATGATCTGAGTAGACATAATGCTATGTTCTAAAATGAAAGACACTTCCTGAACACAGGTCAAAGAAGTAAGAAAGACATACCTTACTAGCATCCTTGGCATCTACCACACCAAGGTCTCGAAGGGCCCAAGCAATCTGCCTTTTATAGAAATCCCCTTTATCAGATTTCTTGACTTTGACCACCTTTACCTGCACAGGGCGTTCAGTTGTCACTGTTGAGTAAAACACATTCATTAGAAATATTTACTCACTCATTCTTCATTCATTCATTCACTCATTGTAAATATAGCTGTTGGGTGATACTAAATGAGGAGTATTTTATAACACATACTGTGACTGAGGAATGTGCAGAATACTAGAAAGAGAATCTAAATCAGACAAGGGTCAGAGACACATTACTTGAGAAGTAAAGTTTCAGACCAATTTTAAAGGAAGAGTATGAGGTAAAGAGAGCTCTAAAGAAAGACTGACATGTGTAAAGCCAAAAGAGCTTGAAAGAGCCTAACACCACTTCAGAGACAGCAATAAGTAGTTCAATATGAAATGTATATGTAATGAGGTGTTTGGAAATGAAGTTACTAAAAAAAATCGAAGTTCAGATCATAAAGGACCTTTATCTGAAGTTGTGGGGGTGCTCCTAGACAACTTTAACTAAGGAAAGGACATGATACTCTGATTTCTAGTTTCTAAAAATTACTCTGGAGCAGAATAAAGGATGGACTGGAGTAATTGCAATACATTTAAAAAGTTAAAGTAGTTGAATCTCTAACAATGCAACTTACAAAAACGACTTAAGAATAGAAAATACCAGAAGTACTTTAACCATTAAAGAAATTGTATTAGTAAGTAAAAATATCCTCCCCAAAACTAGTCCAACACAGTTTTACTGATACCTTCTGCCAAGTTTTCCAAAGAATGAATAATTCCAAACATATATAACAATTCCAGTGTGTAGAAAATGTAACTTTGGTTATAAGGCCAAAGATAGTGTAAAAAAAGAAATTATAGGACCACGTAATGAGTGAACATCAATGAAAAATCTTAAAACAAATACTGTACTGGCACATTTCATCCAAGAGTATATAAAAAAACTACTTAACAATTACAGAGCACTTACAATATCAAATGCTGGTGAGGATGTGGAGCAACAGAAACTCATACATTGCTGGTGGCAATGCAAAATAGCACAGCCATTTTGGAAGACAGTTTTGGTGGCTTCTTACAAAACCAAACATATTCTTACCTTATGATCTAGCAATTATGCTCCTTCATATTTATCCAAAAGAGCTGAAAACGTATGTCCACACAAAAATCTGCAAATGGGTGTTCATAGCAGCTTTATTTTTAACTGTCAGATTGATAACCAAGATGTCCTTTAGTAGGGGAATGCGTAAATAAACTGTAGTATATTCAGACAATGGAATATTATTCAGTGCTAAAAAGGAATGAGCTATCAAGCTGTGAAAAGACATAGAGGAAACCTAAATGCATATTACTAAGTAGAAGAAGCCAATCTAAGGCCACATACTGTATGACTTCAACTATATGACATCCTGGAAAAGGCAAAACTAGAGGCAGTAAAAAGATCAGTGGGTGCCAAGGTTAGGGTGGGGGGAGAGACGAACAGACAAAACACAGAGGATTTTTTTGGGCAGTGAAAATACTCTGTATGAAAATACAGTGATGGATATATGTCATTACCTATCTGTCCACACCCACAGAATGTACAACACCAAGAATGAACCCTAAGGTAAACTATGGACTTTGGGTGGCTATGATGTGTCAGTGTAGGTTCATTCCTGGTAACAAATGTACCACTGCTGTGAGTCACACACAGCATAAAGGGGGACGCTATGCATTGTGCGGGAGGAGGTATACAGGAAATACCTGCACCTTCTTCCCAATTTTGTTGTAAACCTAAAACTTCTTTAAAAAATAAAGTTCTAAAAAATGTATCAATGTTAGTAAGAGTTTATGATAGTATTAAAAAAATAGGAATCATCAAACAACTAGAAATAAATACAACTATGTGTGCAAAACCTTTAAAACTATACTACTTATTGAAAGCCATTAAAACTATAAGACTTTTTGAAAGGCATTAAAGAAGACCTAGATAAATGGAGAACTATATAATGATCATGGACAAGAAGACTCAATATCATGAAAATGTAAGTTCTCTCTAAAGGGAACTATAGATTCAAAATAATTCCAATCCAAATCCCAACAAAGTCTAAAGCTTGATAAAGCTCTTAGGTAAAAGAATAAAGGACCATAACAAGACAAAATAAAAATCAGATGTTAAGACAGAACCCAGAAACAGACATACTCACATTCATCACTAGAAACATGCACACAGGTAATTAAAAACTAACATATGGAAAGCAAAATTATAAAACTTTTAGAAGATACTACGAGAGAATACTTTCATTATTCCAGGATGGAGAAGGATATCTTAAAGAAGACTGAAAAGGGGAAGCCATAAAGGATCAGATTAATTTTATTTCACTAAAATTATAAATTTCATTAAAAGACATCTTAAAAAGCCAATACGCAAGTCACAAACTGGCATGCATATAACAAACACATGATAAATGTGTGTGTGTTAAAGAACTTGTACAAATCAATACAAGGACAACCAGCACAATGAGAAAATGAGCAAAAGGCTTAAACAGGCAAATTCCTTAGACAAGGGAACTAAATGGCTAGTAAATTCATGAAAAGATGCTCAATTTCATTATAATTAGGGAAATAAAACTTAAAACCACAGTGAGATACTGTTTCACACCCATCAGATTGGAATCAATTTATAGTCTGTCAGAACCAAGTGTCAAAATCTAGTTTTGACTAGAACATAGAGAATCCAAAACACACATGCTCTTGGGAGTGAAAAGCCAGTACAACTACTTTTGAAAATAATCTGGTATTTGAATAATTGTGATCATTCACATGCCAATGACTCAGCAATTTCAGAGTTAGGTATTTACCCTAGAAAATTCTATGTACAACAGGAGACAAGGACAAACATATTCATGGAGTGCTATCTGAATAGCAAAACCTGGAAACAAACTCTATGTCCATTACTAGTAAGATGGGTAAGTGAACTGTGGTACTCTCAGAACAGAATACTACATAGCACTGAAAATGAAAGAATTATGGCAATATGAAAGAACAGAGATAAAACTCTTCATGAACATAATGTTGAGTAGCAAAAATCACAAATGAGTAGATGTACTATGATTCAATTTATGTAAAATTCAAACATGCAATCTTACTACACTGATGGACTGCAATGGGGTATGGGGAGGACATGATTATATGGCTGAATATAGTAACCACATTGTTTTTTCATGTGAAACCTTCATAAGAATGTATATCAATAATACCTCATTAAAAATAAATTCAGACATGCAAAACTAAATTAACATATTTTTGAGATTACAACTATATATGATAAAAAGATAAGGAAAAGCAAGGAAATAGTAAACCAAAATTCAGGATACTACTTACCTCTTAATGAAGGAGAGATGGGAATGGGGTCGAGTAAGGGCACATAGGAGACTTCAAAACGAATGGTAATACTCTCCTTATACTACGTGGAGAGTATACAGTGGTCTCTATGTGGTTAGTCTTTGTACCTTATATACATGCTACAGAAATTCTTTTGTATCTACTCAATATTTAATAAAAAACAATTAAAAAATGAATTTGTTGGCTGAAAAGTTTTCCAATTATAGAAACAATCAGGATATTTAAAACAAGGAGGAAATGTCCCCTAGGGAATAAAAGAATGCCAAACAAGAACTTTTTCTTACCAAATACTCACCTGTGGCACACAAGAAACAGTTTTTTTTCTTTTTCCCTGCTTTGCAGACATTTACAATACTCAGCAGGCGTTCGTCATTTGGTGTAAAAATGTCTCTTTGTAATGCATGCTTAATTGCTGTCATCTTTATTCAGCTGAAAAAATTCAGATTTATAGATATTAAGCTCATTCTCAAAATCATTCTATCTTACGTTGTTTCATTCATGGTTTAAAAATGATTTTATTTATGGCACATAACCAGAGGAAGAGTGATTTAATATGTTAGTACAATGATATCATAAAATAAGAAGCTGTATGTTTGGAAAAGAAATCAGAGAACCAGTGTTATCAAACTCTAAAACCTTTGGGAGTGCTTACCAAATGTTACAATACAAAAAAAAAGTTAGGAAAAAATTAAAAATCCATGCTCAATCTTTAAAATAAATTTTTTATATAAAGAATTCTTACAACTCAACAATAAAAAGCCAAATAATCCAATTAAAATTGAGCAAAGAGTATGAATAGACATTTCTTCAAAGAAGATACATAAAGGGCCAATAAGCACATGAAAAGATGTTCAGCATCATTAACCATTAGGGAAATGCAAATCAAAACCACAATGAGATATTTATCATTTTAATACCCACTAGGATGGCTAAAATTAAAAAGACAAGTGTTGGTAGAGATACAGAGAAAAAGGAACTCTCATATTTTGCTGGTGATTGTAAAATGGTGCAGCCACTTTGGAAAACAGTTTGTCAGTTCCTCAAAAAGTTAAATTGGAGTTACCATATGACCCAGCAATTCCACCCCTAGGTATATACTCAAGAGAACTGAAAACATATGTATACACAAACACTTGTACGAGAATGTTCACAGCAGCATTACTAACAAGAGCCAAAAGCTGTTAACAACTTAAATGTCCATCAATTGATGAACTGATACAAAATGAAGTAGAGCCATACAGTGGAATTTCTTTAGCCATAAGAGAGGAATGAAGTACTGATACCTGCTATAACATTGATGAATCTTGAGAACATTATGCTAAGTGGAAGAAACCTGTTACAAAGGGTCACACATTATATGATTCCATTTACATGAAATGTCCAGAATACACAAATCCTGCGACAGAATGATTTGTGGTTGCCAAGGGTTGGGGCAAAGAGGAAAGGGGAGTGAATGCTAATGGATATGGGGGGATGACAAAAATCTCCCTGAAATAAATGGTACTGATGATTGTATAATCTTGTGAATATACAAAAAAACTCCCACTGAATTATACACTTGAAAAGGGTACATTTTATGATATATGAATTATATCTCAGTAAAGCTGTTAGATAAGTTTCTACTTATCTACTTCCTCATCTAATTCAATGTCTTTTTTCAAATATAAGCTTAAGTTAAACATTTAAAAAAATATCTCTAAAATTTTATTTTTGAAATAAACATGTATTTGTATATGTTTGTGTGTGTGTATGCACATTTATAACTATTTTCTGATGCAGATGTCATAGTGTGTAGCAAGCTTGCTTAGGAAATTGACTTCTACTTCTAACACTGCTTGCATAGAAAAACAAGACATTGTGAGTTTTAAATAAACGAACTAGAATGAAGTTTCATAATGCAACGACACTTGTAAACTAGGAATCTCTTCAATTTGTCAAACTTTTATGTCTGCTCGAAAAAAAGTACTTCTCTCAGAAAAATCACATCTTCCCACTTCCACCTCTCTCACCTCACCTCAGCCCCTAGTCTTCACACCTTCCTCTCCTTTCTCTTTTCTATTCCTATTCCTCTATTAGGCCTCTCCAAGCTTAATTTCTCTTCCAACCTAACCTGGAGGAAGTATTTATTTCCCTATACCCACACTATCCCTTTCAATTATCTTACTTTGTTTGTAGACCAGTTCATCCTGTCTTACCAATCTCCAAAAACTATTTTTTTTCTACTTCTCTTGGACTACTACCATTTGCCACTTAAGAAGGTCACATTTTCATGTTCATTGCCTTCAATACAAATACGTAAGGCATTCAAAGCTAGACTTTCAATGGTGCTTGGCAATTCTTTAACACTTCCCTTGATGATTCCTCTTCCTAGTCCCCATCAGTGTTCCTGTAAATCCTTACTTTATCCTTCAACCCCCGACTGTAGTCTAGCTTCCACCCTCTCCACAAATGATTCCGCCATCTACCCTGCAGGGAATACAGACATCATGAATTGCTCTTTTCTCTTCTCTCACCCATTCTAACCTCCATTCCGCCTATTACAAAATTTTGTGTCCGTGTTACTAATCACTTAATACGTTCTAAGGCCTAGACACTGTGTTCAAAGCTTTACTCCTCCAAACCATGCTAGATACTGGCCAATTTACTCTTCTGTCTCAGCTTTTGCTCATGCTATTTCCTTTTCCTGGAATTATTTTCTCCCTGTAAAATTCCAACTCATCCTTCAAGATCCTACTAAAACATCACCTCTTCTGTGAATTAGTCACAAACACAAAAAGAATAATCCCTTTTCTATTTTTCTAATATTTCCCCTCTATTCTGCTAACATAGTGCTAACACACCATATTTTCTAGCTAGCTGTATTCTCTCTCCAATTTAAAGTAGCGCCTTGCAGGTAAGGACCATGTCTTACTGATCTTTTTATTCCTAGAACTGAGCAAAGACATAGCAGGCATTTAATAAGTTAACCAAAATGACACCAAATAACACAACTATAGCTTCCCTAAGGTTTCCCGTTCCAACTCTCACATCTGTAAGCTAACCTCCAGGTTCAAAATCTGACATATTTGATTCTCTTCCTCCATTATCAACATGAGATCTGCTACCACATTCTGTTGATTTCACCTCATCCACTAAAAATTTATTCTTCTTTCTGTTCCCACTGCCAACACACTAACCCAGGTTCACATCAACTATAGCTATTTAAAAGGAAAGTATCTGGTTATCTCTTTTCAAGCTTCCATAACCCCCAAACCATTGACAAATAATATAAAAACAGCTTTTCTCACAACATACCCTTGCTCAACATTTTCCTAGTGCTCTCAAATACAAAATTTCCACTCCAAGCCCTCTGTTCACTTTGGTCTTTATATCTTTGCTTAGGTGCTTTTCCAGGCAGGGACTATCATCTATCCAAATCCTAATTACATTTCATGGTTTATATGAAACTGATTCAATAAAGACCTTAATCCAAATTGATCTCTCCTCTCAATTGCTATAGCACTTAAATGTACTGAACAATCAAGCACTTGCTGTCTAATTGGTTCATGAGACCATATGCCTGCGGTTCTCAAGAACTCTTGTGAAAGAGAGAAGGGGAGGTGCCCTAGCAGTTTTGTGTTCTTTCTCAGTAGGTACTCAACAAATATCTCGAGGTAATCTGAACCCTGAATAGTAAAAACTGGTCACATGAATGGTTAATAGCAGCTAATATTTACCACAGTCCCTCTTCTGTCAAAAGCAGTAAGTCAGTGCATGGTTAAGTGGTTAAAACAAGTGAGGAGTCGGCATACCTCATAAAGGCATTAGGTGTAATGGAAAGCACTATGTAACCCTCATTCATTCAGCAAATACTTATGTCTAAGTGCCAGGCACTGTTCTGGGTCACAGGGGTGACTATGACAAACATGTTCATGAAGACAGGAAGACCCTTGCTCCATGGCACTTACATTCTAAGGAGCAGTGAAATTTTCTGTCTTTACTTTTCTGTAAGTCAGTGAATACATTACTAGATGGCCTATAGAACTATTTTCCAGGCTTAAGAATCCATGTCTGCCCACGTTCCAGAGGCAGTCAGCCACTGCTTATGCTGTATTGACTGTTTCCTTAAAATCCGTCAGATCATTACACTGCGTGACAAATAGCTTGTCAGTGTGGGTGCCCGTATGGGTTGGGCCCTGTGGATCCTATGGAGACATCTTAGCTCGTGGAACATCCTTATCCAGAAGAGAAAACTGCATGAAGACAGGGAAATGCACTTAAAGAGACTTAGAAGAAAATGTCGATTTGGACAAACAAGGGAAAGGCATTGCCATCACGCCCTCCTCTCCTCGTCCACGCTAAAGAATAAATGATCAGGGCCGTTTTGCACAAGCGAAATCTGGTTTCTACGGGCGGAACCGGAAAGGGGTGTGTAAGATCGCTCTCCCAGCCCCCCAGGAGAGCAAGGAGCTGGTGGGTGCTCCGAGCGGACTCTGCGCCTTCCCCACACAGGGGGGAAAGAAAGGGAGGCCTAACGGCGGAGGAGTGGTAGCCACTGCGGGCGCGGAGCCAGTAGCCGGACCCATGAGTCTCTTCAGACCCGCGCCCGCCTGCCGGCTAGTCTGTCCGCCGCCGCCGGGACTGCTGGGCAGCCGCGGCCCAGGGCTTACCGCAAGGTTGGACCGAGCCCGGCTGTGCCGAGGCGGGTCCTCCAAGACCGAGATGGGACCGGGCTTGGGCGGCCGCAGCTGCTAGGAAAGGCCGCCTCACCGGAGAGGAAAACGGGTACCCGCCATTCCGCCACCACCGCCCACATGCAGGCACGTGACACACCTCACGCCGGAAGTTGACCCCGGGTAGCCGGAAGGAGAGGAGGCGATGGGCGTGGCGAGGCGGGGCCGGGGTTCACGGGGGGGCGTGTCAAGAGCAGGCAGAGGCGGAGCCTCTGTCATTCAGGTACTGGATTTGGTGCTGAATGATGTTATTTTCTCTGGAAGAGTTGTTTATTCATTTATTTTCAGCAATTCACTTAAGAAGAGATCCGATTAAGTGTTTTTTTAAATTATTAAGGTATCATTGGTATACACTTTTATGGAAGTTTCACAAAAAAAACAATGTGGTTATTACATTCACCCTTATTATCCTGTACCCTTCCCCCAATACCCCATTGCAGTCACTGTCCATCAGTGTAGTAAGATACCACTTGTCTTCTTGAGCTACACTGTCTTTCCTGTGACCCCACACACACCATGTGCACCAATCATGATACCCCCACAATCCCCTTCTCCCTCCCTCCCCACCCCACCCTTCCCCACTCCTCCCCTTTGGTAACCACTAGTCCCTTCTTGGCGTCTGTGAGTCTGCTGCTATTTTGTTCCTTCGGTTTTGCTTCGTTGTTATATTCCACAAATGACGGGAATCATTTGGTATTTCTTTCTCTGCCTGACTTATTTCACTGAGCATAATATCCTCTAGCTCCATCCATGTTGTTACAAATGGTAGGATTTGTTTCTTTCTTATGGCTGAATAGTATTCCATTGCATATATGTACCACATCTTCTTTATCCATTCATCTACTGATGGACACTTAGGTTGCTTCCATTTCTTGGCTATTGTTAATAGTGCTGCGATTAAGTGTTTTCTTTTTGGCATATATAAAGCTCTATTAACTCTAGGTCCTTATTACTTAAAGGATTAAGAGTTTAAATGAGTTAGATCAGAATCTCTGGGGGTGGGACCAGTACTTTTAATATCTTATGAAAAGATTCTGATATGCACCTACAGTTGAGAGCCATTAAGGCAGTGACCTTGATATTCATAGTGTGGTTCATGGACCTGCTGCCTGGGCATCATCTGAGGGCCCTTTAGAAAATGCAGCCTCTCTGGCTTGCTTCACATATACTAAATCTGCCTCTTAACAAGATGACTTTTATACACATTTAAGTTTGACAAGCACAGATGATGCCAGAGTTGCAGGTTGCAAGGCAGGTGATTCATTTACTTGGTGTTCCTAGGACCTGTTTTATGTCAGGCACTTTGATCCACAAGTGCAGAGGTGTTGCAGACATGGATCATACCCTGAAGAAGTTCATAGGGCTAAACAGTATATAGATACGAATACATATAAAATAATATGTAAAATAAGCGACCAAAGAGATGCACAGGTCCAATAAGTGTGCTGGGAATTCAAATGAACAATTTCCTTTGCTTCTGCTCAACATAGTCCTTTGCAAGGGTTCTGCAAGGATTCATTCATGCATGCATTCATTTATTTGACAAACAAATAGTGCCACCTTTTATGCCAGGCACTGTGTTAAGTGCTGAATCCCATTCAGAAGGGGGCTTACTATCACTGGGGAGACAATTAAATAGATAGATACATTACAATTTAGTGAGGTAAGGCCAGCAACAAAGGTAGAAAAAGGAGACCAAGTACCATGGGACTGCAAAAGAGGGTTACTCACGGATGGAGTCACTGAGAAAGGGACAAATGAGCTGCATAAAGTATCAGTGTTTATCTGAAGGTATAATTTGGTGGAAAAAACAGCAGAGTTAGTAGGGACCTGTTTGCTATCGAGATTAATATGCTCTAGTCAGTCTGCTTATAATGTTTTTCATTCAACGAGTTTCTTCTTAAGAGCAGGATCTGTATCTAGTCCCATCTTTATAAAGTCTCTTTAGGTCCTTCCTGCTGAGTCTCAGAATGCTTATTGTAGACACTATGTGACAATTGTATGTACTATTTTGTCCTATTATGTATCTTAAAAAAAAAACCTGAATGTTTACAGTCCTCTTCAAAGTCGGGAAATGAATTGCTTTTCAGGAGCCTGGACATTTCCCCTGAACTCCAGATTAGTGTATATACTGCTTCACCAACCTTTCCTTTTGGATGTCTGTTAGGCATTTCAAATTTATGTGTCCAAAATTTAAATTCTCTCCTCACCTCACCCCTCCTGTTTTTCCCCCAAAAAGAAACTGAAACAAAGGTTATGTGCAGTAGTTAATTTGGGGCTTTAATTCCAGGGAACAAGAGTGAGAGAAGAGGGAGGAGAAAGCAAAGCAAGGAAGAGACAGAGGCAAACTAATGATGTGTTATTGAGTCCGTCATCACCATATTGGAATGTTTTCTCAATCCCTTATGACCTATTGAGAAATTTTGTGAGATGAGTCTCAAAATTGTCCACTGAAGGCAAGAATGGAGGAATCATTTATCTGTCACCTTCTATCTGCCTTTGATCAAAAGTAATGCCACTGTGCATTAATTACTCTACACTTCAAATTGCACAATTGTGACTGCCAAGCTGACTCCCCTGTCAGAGAAGTCTAGAGGCCGGAAGTAAGAGGAGAGGTGCTGTCCTCCTACACTTGCCCAAAGTTCATCAAACTGCTCAGAATGGGCTGTGCAGCTGCGGTTGGAATCAAAGATTGAAGGGATTCAAAATAGTGACAGAGGTGCATAAAAGGATAGGTGTCCATTTTAGTCCACTGCTTGCACCCCTAGATCTGGCCTTGCCCTCCATTAAGTCTAGTTCTTCACAGAGGCCCCTGTAAATGAAGGCCAGTCACACTGTCTGCAAGGTCATAATGTAAAAGAGTTAGTGGAATGAGCTTCAGTCCCTGCTGCTACACTGATGCTCAGACCATATTCGTCTTCATTAATTCCCTCTTCTACTATCCACTGTAACTTCATTTCACCCTTGGCCAGCTTATCAGCTGATCTAGGTTGTTCCCTTGGTGAGGTAACCAGGACTTTCAGCTTTTATTTTCCTTGCTCTGGTTGGGCCTTGATTGCTGTAATCACCTATTCAACCTATACCTGGGTACAGAAATGCCAAGATAAGCCCCAGTGAATTCCTTGGATTCTAGATTTATTCCTCCCTATTGTTATTGTATAACAACAATCCCAGATCATTTTGTTAATCACAGTTGATTACTCCCATCAGTTTAGTAACTCCTTTCTTTGCTAGCTGGTCTACTGCCTGACATATATGTTGTTTGTTTACTTGTTCTTTTCCTTTCTGCAGAATGAAGCTCTATAAGACCAAGTTATAGTGAGAGTCAAGTTCAATGAATTCCATATTGTGTGTCCTAGTAGAAGCATCCCTCATCTAATCCCTGGAGAATGAATTATTTTTATCTAGCAAAGCCTAAATTTGAGAGTTAGGAGACACAAATACATAAGTGGGTCACTGGCAGAGATTATAAGATGGACCAGTCCTGCTCCCATTCCTAGATTTCTGAAGCCACTTCTTTAACTACTGGGGACACTGTTGGTTGGTTGGGTTTGAGCATTTACTACATCCTATAGGACAACATCTCAATCCCAAGCAGGCACATTAGCTAACCCTGTAACAAGCCATTCCACCATTTCTATGAGCTGACTGTTTCCGGGTAATGATGGATTCTATGGTCATATATATATTGTCACTTTTTTTTTTTTTTTGGCTAAAATGGATTCCTTGGTTGAGATAATGTTAATCAAGAATAGTATAATTCTGGTGATTGTGGATGTTGGAAGACTCACAGCTGTCAAGGAAGGCAAGCCTAGGAGTCTGTAAATTTTTTATTTCAGGACACTTCTCTCTATAAAGCAAACAAGAAAGAATATTGCTCCAAGCTCTGCCAGCTGGGAAGATTCCCCTTCAGTTTAGAGGCACCCCTGAGTGGGGCTACAGTGCAGCAGTCCAATTTTTCCTACCGACCAACATAATGTGCCATCTCACCCATGAACAAGGTTCAGGTTTTTCATTCTGTGTTAGATAGTCATAGGGAATTCCCCAAAGGCCGTAGCAGTGATTGACAAGGATATGTCAGTGCTACAGAATAAAGTGGGAGTCTTGAGTCACTCACTTATATAATTTACTTGTGTCTTCTGAATCTGCTTCAGCTCAGTCCTATGCCATTTCTTTCCATCCTTCAGTAGATTGCTGCTGCACCCATGCACTAATGACATGGTGGATCTGATAGTATCCAGGTCATGATAAATAGCTCTAGTTTTCCCAGTAGAGAATAGTTCTGTAACTCAGAAGGCATGCCCTTGCAGAACATTAGGGATCTGTGCTGCACCTCTCTTACTGGGAACTTTCCATAAATTTTATGCAGTCCTCGTATCCATCATAGATCCCTCCAGCACCATTAGGTCAGCTGTAACAGATGGCCTGAGCATTAGATAGCTTGCAGCACAGCCCTTGTGGGCAGCATATCTCACTTTACTTTCATAATATGTTCATTCCAATAGCTTTACTTCTGGGAAATATATTTTTGTGGTGGTTCTTTAGTTGCAGATAATAAATTCTAACATTCCTGTTTCCCTGTCTTCTGATTCCTTTCTCAGTACTCATTAAAAATGGAATCAATAATCTCATTTAGCACAGGCCATCATCATATCCAAGATTTAAGAAGACACCAAAGCTGTGTATTAGAACTTATTCCAGACGTCCTTACCAAAACGTTAAATCCAGAATCACAGGTGAATGGCCCCACCTTATGAATTCTCCCCTATCCAGTCTTATAACTTGATTCCTCTGGTTTGACATTCTATATATTCACTCTCACACATATTCCCCTATTTCCTATTGGTACAAGTTAGCCAGTTCTGCAATTCCTTTTGCATTAGTCTAGTTCAGTGTTTCTCTACTAGGGGTGATGTTGACTCCCAGGGGACATTTGATAAGGTCTGGGGACATTTTTTGTTGTAATTACTGGGAGGGTTCACCTAGTATGTAGATTCCAGGGATGCTACTAAACTACCTACAATACATAGGGCAGCCCTCCAGAACAAAGAATTATCCAGCCCCAAATGTTGCAAGTGCCAAGACTGAGAAACTCTGACCT